ATTAAAAAAAAAAATGTGGGCGAAGCTTAGGGTTCCCATGGACTTATTTGTAGAGCAGGTACTCCCGGATATGTGTGCACAATTTCAGGTCATTCGGAGTTACGGTGCGACTTTGTTATTTTTTTCCAAAATCGGATTTTGATAGGTGGCGCTAGTGAGCAGGTTGGAATATTTAACCCATTGACTCCAGAATATTGAATTTTTTACCGGTCCTGGCGTCCGTGCAAAATTATACAACTTTGTCAGCATCCTAAAGGCCTCAAAAACAGGTCGAAAGCGCAGAAAAATAATAAGAAGAATTCCACCAATAACAATAGGTATCCTTGCACTTCGTGCTAGGACGCCGTTGGGTCCTAGCGCTTCGTGCTCGGGCCCTAATAATACATTTTATTTTTAGTTGCCTTTCATGACACCCAAGGACACCGTACAATTTGTTAAAAAAAGAAAGAAAACGCTAATGGGCAACAGAACATGATAAAAACACAAACAGGAAATCATGGAGGAGACAGTCAAGTGGACACAAATAAAACATATAATGGGGAGCACTACACTGAGTAGGCAGATTTGAACAGGTGGGTTTTTAATTGGGATTTGAATATGGTGATTGTGTCTGACTGTCGGATGTGCGGGGGGAGGGAGTTCCAGAGTCTGGGAGCAGTGCAGCTAAAAGCCCGAGCACCCATGGTGTAACCATGGTGGAGACCAGGGGTGCCCACACTTTTTGGGCTGGTGAGCTACTTTTGAAATGACCAGCTCACCGAGGTCTACCAACCAAAAATAAAATCCCAAATTGCAAGGGTTGCTGAATAACACATTTTATTTATACATGGGATAATAGGGCTGCAACAAACGACTCATTTGATAATCGATTAATCTATCGATTAATGAAACGATTAATCGACTATTCCGACTATCACTGTATGCCTTTTCTCAAACAATTTCTCAAACAATTTCTCAAACGCTCTTGTTTAGCCATCAACTTTTAGATTTAGCTTGAGGTTGTTTTAGGCATGTGGAAACTAACAATGAAGACAATAAAGATTAATACTTGATTCAAAAATACATATATTATTAAATTAACAAATTGTTTACAAAACTAACATTGCTTTTTATTTAAATAAAATAAATAATATTTCAAATCAAAAGAAACAACAATGTTTTAACAAATCGTATTAAATAATCTGATGACAGAACTGTGAACAGAATAGCTGAAACTTTAACAAAATAAAGAGTAACTCAGTTTCCTCTAATCATTAACCCATGTTTGTATAATTGAGTTAACTCCATGTGTTAATGCTAGCATACATAACACCTGACGTGGAAACGTTACTCGTGGATGGGGCTACAGAGCTGCTAGAAAGACAGTCGAGCCCGGTGCATTCCTCCGTCTGAATGTGGTGCACTTTTGCTAAATGTTTGACACATTGCTCGTGTTACCGCCCTCACATGCTGAACTCTCTTGGCAAGGAGCATTGTCCGCCTCAAGACGGGTAACATTTAACAACACCTTGGAGCGCTTCTCTCCGCCATCTCCTCCGTGTGTTGCTGCTTGTAGCAGCCGTGTGTGTGTAAACTGCCCCGCCCCCTCGCGCACAGACGGGGGGGAGAGATCTCGTCTGGATTGGAAAGATAAAAAATACACCGACCATAGACGCATTTGTTTGTCTTTTTGCATGTTAGAAACGAGTTGGCGACACTAAGACTGCGAGATAATATTTGTGTAGCAATAATACATGACCTTTCTCAACTCGCTACTCGGAGGGAAGTCGCTGCTATGCCTTGTGAACACTCCGATAATGCCTCTCCACGTTACCTTTCTTTGGCAGAGCGACGCTTGCTTTACAAATAAGGCAAATAACCTTTGAATGTGACATCACAAACAAATATTCTTCCTCCCATTCTGTGTGGAAGTGGTTTGTCTTTAGCTTCTTGCTCGGTCCCGCACTCATTTTGTTGTTTGTCTCTTGTTTGTCTGTTTAACTAATTTGAGTTTTCCCGGCACTTGACTGATTTTGTATCGCTTTGCATTCTGGGTTAACAGATTGGAAAGCGATAGGTCGCTTTTTCTGTCAATCAAGTAAACTCCTGAATTAAGTGGCAGGGAGGAGGGATCAAAACCTGTTTTGTCTATTTTAACGGAGCTGGATTTCTTTTTTTTTTAATGACTCGCGATCTACCAGCATGTCGACCGCGCTCGACGTACTGGGCAGCTCTGGTGTAGAGTCACATCACTTTACTGTAATGCAGACTTTAAACCAGGAAAAGACAATTATGCCATACCAGGGTTTTGTCTAAATGGGTAACAGGGGCTCTGCAACCTCTTACTTTTGGCGTGCGCCCTCATACCAAATGCTGAAAATGTGCCCCATACATTTTGAAGTGATGCCAGAAAACAATATTTCTGTTTGTCAAAAACTGTATAATTACTCCAAAAATATGAAAACCGTGTCAAATAGAGCGTCAGACGGCATAGACGGCTTTGTTTTTACAGAGCTCCGATGTTGTGTTGTTTTTTACGTCCGTGGCGCCATCTTGTATACAGGCTTCATGTGCTCGTGAGAATTGATATATATATACAAGATCAGCGCCATAGTATTGCCCTCATACTATATTTTTCAAAAAGAAACCTGCATACTATGATATTTACCGTAATAACTAGTCTCATATCGAGGAATCATTACTGGTTGTGATCTGATATTGATGGGTCATACAACTCAGCTCTTACATTTTGTTTTGTTTATTTATAGTCCAGCGTTTTTTGATCAGTTCAGTTGTTGAGGGCAACTCTGTGAATCATGGAAAGGCTGATTGTGAAACCATTAGCGTTTGATTTAGCAAGTTGAAACGTGATATTTGAACCGCACTGCGGAGAGGGTGGTGTTGGTCAGACAGTACAGAAAGCATTGCGCAAGAAAAAGAATGAGGAACTGAGTCAGTGAGGAAAATAGTGTCACCTCATCAGTCCACAGGGACCTATGAAGCTTAGTCACACAAAACAGACAAATCACAGTGAGCTCTAAGAAAAGCCACCCCTGAAACAGTCTCTATTCCTCCCTCAGATTTCCTCTTTTGGTCTTTCAAGGTCAGTTTCCGTACAGTCATGTGGGAGGCCTCAGATAATCGTGGCACAGTTTTACGTGTGTTATTGGTCGCTTGTGTCGGAAATCTTCAGTAAAGACACAATAATACAAGTCCTACTCTGCAGACAGGTGTCTTGCTGGGCCATACTTACTCAGCGTGATTATTTGTTCCACTGCTGTAAGCTGGATATTTCACTTGACTTCCTAGCATGGTTCTTCTTTGCTCAGGTCTCAGACACATGAAGCACACTTCCCCTTTATTTTTGTTTCTCTTTGCTGGTACATTCTAAGCATTAAAGTGTTGGCATCCTTCTTGGAAAATGTGGGTCTTTTAGTCCATCATATTTCCAAACACATGTTGAAGCACGTGTTGTTTTTCTCATGTTGTCAGGAAAGTTGGTTCAGCCTCACTTCCATTGTTGCTGCTTGTGTTTCAACAGCTGTAACCTCAGCCAAAAAATACTTTCATTTCCCACTACTTCTTGCCCTGGTGATATTCTGATCATGAAACCATATATCAGGTTTTAAGAAAGAATAGCATGTAACTATAATATGTTATATAAGTAAAGCATTTTAGTGTTGATGTTAGTACTAATATAATATGTTAAATCAACTACAACATGTTAAATAACTTGAGTGGCCTTTTTTAAATAATGATGGTTAACAATGAATATTAACTGTTAGTGCTGCTTTCTGTACCTTTATCTCTCTCTCACACACACACACACACACACACACACACACACACACACACACACACACACACACACACACACACACACACACACACACACACACACACACACACTAGCTTATATTAGTTTTTTATCAATACCGTAGATGGATAAGCACTTTTCCATTTGTCACTATTCGAAGCCTCGTATATCGTTGTCCTCCTTGCCATGGAGTTCCATTGTTGCCCAAAACAAGTCAAGCACATCAGTGGGACAAACTGTTGTGCAACATAACCATGAACACACACACTGTAGTTTATTAACCCTCGATACACACTTCACGGTTTGGTTTGTACTTTGGTGTTGGGAACATGGTTGCGTATTTATCTTTGGAAGAACATGAAAAATGGAATGTCCACGAGTATGTGGGTTATTCCCTATCTTTATTCAAGAGCGGGGTCTTTACATTTGAGAGCATAATTGATTGATTTCTCGTTCAGAATATGTATTTCTTTCCCTCTACCCTGTCCTCGCACTCAAACAGTGCCTGCTTGCGCTCAGATCTGCTCTGCTTCTGCTCAAACTGTACGCATGCACTCAGATATATTGCTGCTTACAGAGTTCCTGTGTTCCAGCTTCAAACCTTCTCCTCGCACTCAGGCTGTTTCTGTGCGCTGGTCAAATGTCTGCTCTCAGATTTCTACTCTGCACGCTTGGATTTGTTGTGCAACTACCCCGTCAAAATGGGGGTAGTTTCACTAGTAGGTGACTACTGAGTCCAACAGGATCTATCTCACGAATAACTAATGGAACAACAAATAATTCCCTCATCAAATTGAGCAGAAGTGGCTTGATGTTGTTCTCAGCAGGGACTTTGACAGAATATTTCTTCTGTCAGGAGCTCCATCAAGCCGTGTAGGACAGAGAGTGAATACACATACTTTACAGAGATGCTTTGAGAAACCAATGTGAGTTTGGAACATTGCAGAGTATACATCTATTCTAGTAGACCTCAACAATGGAGTTATGATCAGTAGAAATGGCCATGACATGGGACCTTTAAGGAAAATGTTTAAATTGTAAGAATAATATCCTTCTCTTCTTCCTATATGATAATACATTGAAAATATTTGGGTCATATGATAAGCCAACTAATATATAATGAATACAAATGTCAAATGCAGTTATATTAATGTTTTAATCATTGACGTTTTGTTTATTCATGTGTTCTCCTCTCGTGTATTAGCCGGAGCACAGCTGCCCCCCCCACACAACTTGAACGTTATCTCCATGAACACCAACTACACCCTGATCTGGGACTGGGACCAGGGCTCTGCAGAGAGTGGCGACGTCAACTTCACCACACACTATGTGGCGTAAGTCTCACACGTCACACATGCATGAGCAAGAGGAAGCAGGCACACTGAGTTTGTGATGAAAATATCCACTTTGAGTCTGAGGGATTTACCTGTGAAGCTTTACTTTGGCATCATCTCCTCTAAGAGAACTCATCCTGTTTAAACATTTAGGTGATTAGAACCAAGATGGTAGTTTTAAAAGAGGTTAGTTTTTTGTTAGTAAGATTGATGTTTTAAGGTGTTTCTTTGCTTCAGAAGTGATGTGACTCAAGTGTTCCTCTATCTGGGGCCAGCAGCATTGTGGACTAAACATTTCCCATTGCAGTCAGCTGACACTGCTGTGTGTAAGGCTGAGAGGCAGGATGTGACCAGAGAGTTCAGACACTGCCTTGGGCGTTAGAGCTAGGACAGATGGGAAGTCATTTCATTTAGGATTTGACACTTTCCACAGGTTTGTCTTCCTGCTGATAATATCCTTTATGTGTAACACTAGTGGTTTTGTATGCGTTGATATTCTTTACAATGCGCATCACAGCCTTACTGAGACTGTAGTGTCAGAAAGAAATGAAGGTGAATCCACACCACAGAAAACAACTACAAGTATTTCCTGGCAAACATTGGAGTATAGTCAGCAGGTTCTCATGCTTGAGTTGAGAATAACAAAATAAAGTTAGTGCAAATTGTGGATGATGATCACATTTGAATGATCTTTGATTCATTAGCATGTGCAATTTCCAAAATGTGTTTCATGTGAGGTTTTTCTCTTGTGCAATGTTAGACATAAATACAGATTTACAATAGAATTGTGCAATTCCACAAAACATAAACTACCTTATCGTTTGCTTCAATTCATTTTCAATTAAGGCTGTCTAGTTGTTTTCAGTTGAGGATGATACAAAATGTTTTGTTTCTCTTCCCTTCAGGAAGTTCATGCTGAAGTCTAAGAAAAAGAGTCCGAACTGGAACACAGGGTGTGAGACGACGTCACGTAGGTCATGTGACCTTACAAATAAGAATCTGTTCTACCTGGGCATCTACGTGTTTCGTGTGCGAGCCAGTGTGAACGGGACTGACTCTGATTGGGCCACGAAGGATTTCTGCCCCGATGAAGAGGGTGAGAGAAACGATGAGAAGAAAACGAGTGGGGCGAGGGACAATCAGTCCTCCCTGTATACCAGTGGTGTATTGTAACTAAGTACATTTACTCGAGTACTGTGCTTGTGTAAAAACAAATCTAGGTATTTTCACATTATGCTGCTTTATAGTTTCACTCCAATACATTTATTTTACATATTTAGTTACTAATTACTTTGCAGGTTTATTTGAAGTTACTTCATATTTAAATTGACACACAATATCATATATTATTATAGGTTAAGCTACCCAGTAGTATGTCAGTTCATTCAAATAAACCCCCCATTTTGCATAATGAGTACTTTTACTTTTAGCCCTTACTATTTTTCAATGCTAATACTTTTTTCCTTTTACTTAAGTACACTTTTGAATGCAGTATATGATCTCAGGTGTAGCATCACACACCATCAACAGTAAGAAAAACATGCTCTGACAAGATAGAGGAGAGTACAACCACAGAGTGATGTTCAGAGAGCTGTGGCTGACATGTGAGGAAAGGTAACCTCTGCATTGTGTTTTGAGAAAGCCGCTCTGAACTATCAAACCACAGTGAGAGACGTCAGTTAAGATCACGTGAGAAGTAAACATCTCCATCACGTTTTACACAGCTTCACCAACTTTAGAAAATCACACAGGCAGACATAACTGGAGGTGCAGGTTCAAACTCACACTGCCATAGAGGAGCTCAGATTGAGTTGAGTCTCAAAATGATTAAATACTATGAAAGATGTATAGCAACCCACACAATAGTAAACTAAGATCAGAGAAAAGTTCACTAAGCAGTAAGACTATGGGCGTCTCCAAACTGACCTACTTGTAGTTCATGTAGGTCAGCAAGGCAACATGCAAAAAACTAAAGCTGAGGCAAGTAAAACATAGTTACAGGGTGTTGTGATTCATTGGTTCACTCTAAAGCTGGATCACAATGTGAACACATGACACCAGCATCTGAACACATCCTGAAACAACCGTCAGAGTTCAATTCAACCAGTGTATGACCTATTTCCTACTCAAATGCCAGTAAGTTGCCTTGTGCTGTCTCATTTGAATTTGTCTGGCTCCGAAGAGTGCACAAGTCTCTTTATTTGTTTAATCGTCTAGAAAATTGTCAATCTAATCAATTATTAAAACATTCGTAATACAAAATGTTACAAAGTATTTAAAATATTCTTTGAAATGTTTATCCAAAGAAAGTCATAGAAGATGCATAAATTGTATATTGAGCTATATTTTAGAAGATGGTAAAAGGGCTGTATGTATAAAGCCCTTTTCAAGTAACCACCTGCCCTTAGGAATGCACACACTCCCACACATTTGGCATTACAACTGGGAGCAAGTCATTGGGGCTCAGTATCTTGACTTCAGGGTCCAGGTATCAGCCTGATTCTGACACTTCCTAAGCCACAGCCTCCCGATGCATGTCACATTGAAACCCAAACCTCTTCTCCAACCAGTGAAATGCTTTATCTGGATCCAGTGCAGTACACTATGGTTCTATTGGGAAAGGACTGGGGTCCTTAATGATCCTGATCTGACCGGGTGAAATCATATTATTATTATTGTTTCGCTTATCAATGAATGTGTCAAACTTAGGACTCGATGCATCTTTTTCTTTGTAAGATGTTGGAGGAAATAGCAGCACAACTCTTAGTTCCCTGTTGATGTGTTCAAATGTCTGACCAACAGTCTAAAACACAAATATATTCAGTTAAATGTTTTATAAGAAAAAGAAAAGCAGCAGGTCCTCCCTTCAGAAACTGTACCCAACAAATGTGGTTTGGTAAAGCAACTATTAATTAGTTAGCAAAATCATGGTAGTCCATATATTTGTTGTGACTAGGGCTGTCAATCAATTTCAATATTTAATCGCGATTGTTTGCATGTTGTCTATAGTTAACTCACAAATCCAGATTCATACTCATATTTTTTATCTGTTTTGAATGTACCTTTTTAATGGGATAATGACATTTAATTTAATTTAACTAACTTAAAGTTAAGAACAATCTTAAGGTACAGCACTTCAGCTGAGTACTTACATTTTATGCTATTTTATACTTCTACGCCACCACATTTTAGAAGCCAATACTGAACCACACTTATCTGGCAGCTTTATTTACTTAAAAGATTGAGATTATTAGCTAATATAAATGAAATAATGAAAATATATTGATATGTAATTATTGGTTTAGAGATCCAGCAGCCGTATACAAAGTAGTGAAAATTAGCTCCTCCTTCTTCTTGTTCTTCTTCTGTGTACAGTTAATATAAATGTTCTTTTTGATGATGAAACACGATGTTAGTGCTATGGCAGCTGTAGAAATACAAAGCCCCTGAACTATCCGTTCCTCTCTCCTGCTAGCTGCTCTGGGTCCTCCAAGCAAAGTGGCTCTTTCTCCTGAAGGCAGAAACCTGGACATTGTGATCTCCGACCCTCTGTCCAGCACCAACCGCTCCATGAGGGAGCATCATGAGGATCTGTACTTCCAGATCCAGTACTGGGAACGCCCTGCAGACGGTCAGGTAGGAGCTCACCTCACACCCCTCCGACAAATAGTTGGCCCAACCAGACTATATTTATTTGTAATACCAAAATAATTAGAATCCAAAAGTCCTCAAACTTCAACTTGTTGCTTTTGATGTTGGGACCAGAAGCCTGTTGTTCTGTGAAGACATACAGACATACAGTTTCAACCGTACAGATCTACAGACACATATTACAGCAGAAGAAAAAGCAACAGTATTCACACTTCCCATTTTCTGATCAGTCCCCAAAGACACCTGGTGAAACTTGAGGCTCACAGCGAGCCGCAGTGAGCACCTGCTCTCTGCTCCGTGTGTTCAGATGGTGTTCCTGTTTTTGGTTTCACTCGTGCCCTCTCTGCGGAGCAGGGGCTTCCTGTCTGCGCCACAAGGCAGTGAATGACAGAATAAGCGTCTGGTGCTTTGATTTCTTGCAAGCTGCTTGCATATAAAACTGGTTAGATGAGGAAGATGAGGTGATTACGTCTTAAAATAACCCAGAGCTAAAGAGAATGTCAAATGTTTTGGATAAAGGCCACAGCATACACTTCTAAGCTGCATAGAGACGATACACCGTATATTGCCACACAGTATGCCCCAAGGCAAACAAGTACTCTACTAGACATTTTATGAAGCTAAATAGGTGCATTATACATTTAAAAAGAATTGTACTTTACAAATACAATTGGTATTATACATTTCTTATTCTACACTAACTTTTCATGTCTTAAAAACGTTTACATTATTTGTTAGTAATGAAACAACCTTTTCTTTTCAATATTTTTTTTATGAGCCACAAGCTAGCGACTCATTACCTCAAGTCATCAAAAAAGATGTTGTATCGCAGCTTGACAAAATAAAAGGTTTTAGATTATTTATAAGGACAGGGAAGAAAGAATTGTTTCTTTTTTTTTGCTTGTCTTTCTTTGTCTCAATATTACACTACCTTCCGGTGTAGCCGCATTTACATAGACAACAGTGCACTTGAGAAAAACGGAAAAAGCTGCATGAATACGGGCCCTTATGTAAACAGTATATATATGTTTCCTCAGAAAAAGACATCTCAGAGCATTGTTCTGGTGTGCCCCAGTGGCACTACACTTTGGAGTATAACAGAAACATTCAAATAGTTTATGGAAATATGTCATTTTCAGATCGTGGAACCTGAAAATGAGCTTTCCAGTCCTCTTTAAAGTAACATTTTAAACTTCCAGCCTGCAAAAACCAAACTTTCAAACTGTCATGCACAGCTCTGAACACTGTAGTGGTTTGATATGGGTTGATCTTTGCACTGAGCATCACAGCTTTACTGAGACACAAGTTTGTTTGAGAAATGAAGGCCAATCCAAACCAACCACAGGAAATATAATATGTCCGCTTTGAGAAACTTTATTTCCACACTATTAGTAGTAATACTGACTGTAGGCCATTGACGGTAAGGATGCACACATTTCTTCACCATGTGATGGCCCTCTGTGACCCAACAGACCTTTAACCAGCTCTGTGTGTACGTGCTGTTTGCTTTAAGAGCTCAGCTGGCTGACCACGACTGAACGGCCTATACACAAATAAGCTGTCTAAGAGTTTCCAGCACTAATATGACCACACTAAGATCTGTCCAGACTTTTGTGGTCACACTAATGCACCACATCTATAAAGTGACTCTAATGGACATTGTGTTGGGAGGCCCAGCTAGACCTGAACACTTATCATCTCCTCTAATATACAGTGTAGTGGTGACAATGCAGAATTGTAAAGTTGAATGTGCATTGAAGTGGACAATTGAGCCCAATGAGCTGCACATCATGTTCAAGTGTTTTTAATCTGTTCATCAGTAAGTTAATCTTAATAAAATGTGAATGCATGATATATAATAATGATGGGTTTGAGAAACTTCCCCCACCCCCTCACAGACATCCCAGCACAATGCAGACTTTGTGTTTGACTGTTAATGAAATGAAGTCTCCTCTGTGCTGTGCCCCAGGCCCTCAGAGGCCACTTTCTGAGCAGCAAGAAAAGAGTGGTGACGCTGTCCAACCTGCAGGCCTGGACCTGGTACTGTGTGAGTGTCCAGTCACGCTACGACTTCTACAACAAGAGCAGCAGCTTCACCCCCCCACAATGCACGCAGACTGAAGGTAGGAGCCTCATATACACTTCAGGGCTGGGTGATATTGAAATGATTTTACTTAAGATTTTGCTCCAAGAAAATCAAATTATCATCCAATAAAGAATATATATAAGATCAATTCTTTATAGGGACAGGGAAGAACAGTACATGCACGAACACAGAACCGTTTTAGAAAATGTTTTATTTTATTTCACTGGGTCTTTACTGACACTGAAATGACAGTAACTTCCTGATGTTACCTCGTCCTCCGTCTGTCTTTGTGTTCTGTCCCTGCTCTGCTCAGAGAAAAGTTGAACCACAGTTTTCTCTGGGTGCAGCTGCAGTGTCCTGGTTGCACCCTGAACAATTAGCACATGTACATTGACAACAGCGAACCAGAGCAAACCAAACACGCAGCGTGTGTACGGCCCCTTGGGTGAACAGTAGGGCTGTGCATCTTCACTGGTCTCACGATTCGATTCGATTACGATTATCCTGTCAACGATTCGATTCAATTCGATATCCCGATGTATCACGATTCATACCAATGCGTTGCATCCTCAATTGTCTATATTACTGCACATGGCTTATTTTTCATCAATGCATACATGCAGTAAATACATATGAACTCTCTTTTTATTATTTAGAAAGTGCTTCAGAAATCAATAACATAAATGTCTTGACATTCATTTATAAACCAAAATAAATGAACTGTATAGGTCTAGCCTTCCTATATCTGTGTGTGAAGTTGTTCCATCCTCAAAAACAAAAAAATAATGCTTCTGCAGTCTAGCTGCAGCTTCTAGCAACGGTCTTCTGTTAAAGAAAGGACACTGAATGTCCTGAATGTGGCATCACACACAGGACTTGAGTCTGAACACAGCAGACAACAGGAGTATTTACAACAGCATATACAAACTAAAATAGTGCATGTGGGTGCACACTTACATTCTCTGTCTTACTGTTAAATCCCATGAATGTATGAGATTAAATTAGCTTCATCATATCGCAGTGAATAATAAAGTTTCTATCGGGTCACTATCAGCCTGTCACTCATTATTTTCAGGGAGGGGGCGGGGCTTAGAGGAACAGAGGAGACGGTGATCGCGGAAGCTTTTTTCCTCCTGCCTTCACAAACTTTACACACGTATATATCGTCTGAAAATTGCTAGAGGACATTCATACTTTGCAATCCAAGACTTGATTAAATCCACCAAAAACCTGACATGATTGTAACGCGATTATTTTTGAAAAACATAAATCCCTGTGCCGCAGCGACACGGAGTGATTCAGAGCGAGTCCTTCTGCTGTGCCGCTGTCACGTCTGTTCCCTGATCTCTGCGTCACCGACCGATTTGATATTAAAGTGACAGGAAAAAAAAACGTTATAGTAAAGCCGTGGCCGGAAAATCAGGAAGCAACGTTACTACGCTATAACCGATTATCTTCCGTCACTGCATCGAGACCGAATCGTCCACGTTCGCATCGCAATGCATCGTAGAAGCGATTATTTTCAACACCCCTAGTGAACAGTAAATATATGTTTCCTCAGACAAATACTTCAGATTCTGCATTAATCTTGCCATTGTATAAATAAAATAGTATATGTATAAAATATACACTGAATAGCATGTCACAGGTAACGAAATTGTTTGTGCCAACAAATACAACTATGCTCAGAAAGATGTCATCGATTACTTTAACAGGAACCGTCCCGTGGTGGGAAATAGTTTTGTACTTCCTGCTCTCTCTGGTGATCTGTTTCTTGGTCGTGCTGCTCTTCATCTATGGCTTCTTTTGGTGCTTCAAGAAACTGAAGGCGACGTTTTACCCCTCCGTCCAGCTGCCTACCCCCTTCCAGGTAAAATCGGCACACCGGCCAAGTGAAGAACTATTCACACTGTTTACAAACATATCGTTCTATATTCAGTTCCACTAGAATCTCATGTTACTCTCTTCTCTGCTCTTTCTCCTCCCCTCAGTATCTCTATGACTCCTCTGGTTCTGACATTCCTCGCCTCCTCCCTGAGTCCGACTCGGAGCTGTTGTGTGATAAAGTGACTGTCTGCCCAGCCCCCCCACTCCTTGAGATCCACAGCCCACCCCCTGAGTTCCTGCCCGAGCCAACGGGCCTGGAGCCAGACAGCAGGTGCTTTATTTCTACATCAGACACTGCATTCAAAAGAAATACCCCAAAATGTTTTATTGGCTTTTATATTTAAATGTATGGAAGAGGATTTTTATAGATCAGATCAAAAGTGATTGTTTTTTTGTTCTGAGATAAGTCAGAATTATGAGAAAGTAATCCTAATTTTGAGGGAAACAGTCTGACTCTTTCTCAGAATTGCTGACTTTTCAGATCCAAAAAATCCCATGTGGCCCTTCTCCTCTTTGGGATTTACAACCTTCAAGTACTGTGTTCACATATCATCATGTACGTCGTGGTGAATGACTAAGTGTTCATGTCTCCAGCGGCAAACACAGTCGCAGCAGCAGTGGCAGCGGAGACTCCGGCATGTACTCCACCGGGGGGGGCAGCTCCAACCTGCGGCAGCAGCACTCCGGCCAGGACTCTCAGGGGCCCCTGGACTCGGAGCAGGTGAAGATGCAGGACATGGCTCCAGGGCTCAAGACACACCTCCTGGCTGCAGACGAGGGCATCGTAGACATGTGTGTGTGATGAGGCACACACACAGACGCTTCTTTTTACAAAAGCATTAAGCAGAGATATTCAGTAGGATGGAGGTTTGTGGAAATGTGCAGCGTGCCTTCTAAGACTAAGAAAACAAAAGATGAGCGACAGACTCAGGAGGAAGGACGGTTTTTTCACTGTTGATGTTCAGATCTACCTACTTGTTAGCGCCAACCAGAAGTACTGCTCTGTGCTTATTTTAATATTTGATACATTTCCTTTGTACAGCCTGTCTTCACCTTCATGCTGTGATTTGGTTTTCAAATCATGTTTATATCTATTACTTTCCTATCGCTTTTATGACTTAACATAAGTAGCTTATAGGTGCTAATAAGGTAGCATTCATTATAATAAGCAGAAAAGTGGAAGTAGGACACTTGTATGGAGTCTTCTCACAAAATATGATGACATTAATGTGATGGAGAAAATAATAACAAATAGCTGTAGAGTAATGCTTAACAGCTCCACAGCTCCACTGGCAGTGCTGGTCCCTGCCAGTGAAGAAGAAGGCCTGCAGACATGGCGTCGCAAACAGCTTCCTCTGGGGACAGACACTTGTGGAGTTTCTCCTCATGAAACTTTTTTTTAATGTGTGTTAAACAAAAGAAACAATGAGTTGGGAAACATATTTCTGATGTTTGTTTGTTTTTTATTTCTTCATACAATCAGTAAAGTAATTTAACCTGATTTTATACACAGATAAAAGATGAATAACGACTCATCTTAAAGTAACCTTTTCTTATGTGTTTATGTGAACTGTGTGAGGGAAGCTTGTAATTATAACTCAAGCTTTGGAATCCATGTATGATTCTTATAGAATCTTTGTACTATACTCGTTTAATTTGTTCATATTTAATTTGTATCAAATCTTTTTTTTTTCTCATTGGAGCTTTCCGCCTCTGTTCACCCATTTGTTTTTAAGTCTTAAGGAAGAGAACACATCCAGACAGTCCGTGTATGTTTTCCATTACATGTGTATCTCTGTCCACAAAGACAGAAAGAAGCAAACAAGTTGTAAATGTTGTGTACAGTTTATTAAACAAGTTCCATAACTTTGATTTGCTTTAGGACAACACATTTTCCTGGATCTGCAGTGCTACAGTAAGATGTACTGGTGACATTCATAGGCAGCAAGTGTTGTAAGGAAACAAAACAAGCTTCCTTGACTTCCAGTTTCGAAAAACAGCCTTGCCATTTCATTTCCCGGTGCTTGACACAGTGTGACTTCATACCTTCTTGCAATTTCCAATCTGCATTACTTCATCATCTTGCCCCTTGCTGTCTGTTGTAACCTGAAATTGTATGCAAGTATAATGTTCGTTAGTTAAGAAAGTGGTGATGTTAGTGTACGTCTCGTCCACCATCCAAACTCTATAGCCCTGTGTTAATGGACAATCATGAAAATGAAATAAATCCGCTCCAATACCAAACATTGGTGTCAAAGTGAGCGCTTTACTGTGCGTGGATTCCTGTACACACATGCTCCAGACTTATTACTTACAAGCAGGGTTGGGAGGGTTACTTAAAAAATGTATTCAGTTACAATTATAATGTTTTCTACTGGTCTTAGTAGCCCACTAACTACATTTCACTGACCTCCGTGGTTCTTTTTCACAGAAGACATTTAGACTTGTCCAAAATGGAAAAGAGGTCATACCAGCAACATTAACAATGAACTATACCAGAGAGAGGGACTTAAGCCCGCATTAACAATACCTGGATCAAAAAGTGATTATATTGTGGTGGGAGCACTGGTTCCCAGCGGGTACTCTAATGCCCCTTTCACACCAACGCGTTTTCAACTCCGGCTCGGAGCTGGAGCCTGAAAAGTACCGTTTTTTCCTGTTCACACCGCAGAGGCGCCGCCTCTTAGCTCCGGAATCCGGTTCACTTCCAGCTCCAAACAATTGTCGGTGTGGAGGCAAGAGCTTCGGAGCTAAGAGGCGGCGTCGCTTACGTCGAGGCGGGGGCAGGGGCAGATTCGTCGTTGAAGTAGATGCTGAAGACCACAAATAAGTCTTGCATTTCGCATGTGATGTTTGTAAAGTTCCAAGTAAAGTCGTCCCTTGTAAAGTCGTCCGATGCCTTCCATTTCGTAAGAGGATAACCAAAGCGAACAGTGCTTCAATACAATCGGCCATTGTTGTTGTTGTTGTTGTCGATGTGAGGGTTTTCCGCGCGGTTTGGATTTTATGAAGCAGGCACGTAAATGGTGACGTCATGACGCAGCAGCGGCAGCTCTGGGCGGTGTGAACAGAGCAGGTGCTTACATTAGAGCACCCAAACGACCTGAACTTCATCATCTGCTATCGTCCGCTTGATGAGTCACATCAAACACTTGTGTTACAAGTTTGCGTTATGCGCGCTAACTTATTGTCAATTTAAAAACCTGTAAAACTTTCTTTGTTCTATCCTAACACCAGTATGTGTGTTTTTGCATAGTGGCACACAGACTGTGGCTGTCGCTGCAATGGGGCTTATATTGTTTATATCTGTGATTTGCCTTGATATGCTTTTATTCTGCTGTTTAGGTAGAATGTTACATTTAAACATGTAGCCGTGTGGATAGTGGTTAAATCTAGTTACTCTACTCAGGAATGCATATTTTTGATTTATTATCAGTTGTAGGCCCCAGGCCTTCCCAAAATAAACAGATCTAAATATGCACATAGTTCTACTTCACAACCCTAAGTATTTTATATATTTCTTTATAATTAAGTAATTTTTATTTTGCTAGCGTAAGATTTATTTTAAGTACACTAACTTGTACCGGAGTATGATACTAGTAGATCTGCTCTTTTCATCTGCTGTACAGCTACACTCTGATTGAAGTTGTGAAGTGCTTCATCTCATATATATTTTTTGTCATTTCAAATAAAGGGCAGTATGATTACATCTGGAGCAGACTGAGAAGGGCTTTGCTTGTTATTCAATGTAATAATGGTTTACTGATGCACTTGCTAATCTGTAAATAAGGGAGTTATTTTTCCCCCCCCACTCCAAGCACTGCCCCAGTGGTATACAATACTCTTTGTTGTTTGGGCGTAGCAACCAGTGGTGTAAAGTAAAAGTACATTTACTCAAGTACTGCAGTCCTGTACTATACATTTGAGGTACTTGTACTTTACTTCAATAATTCCCTTTTATGCTTTGTACTTCTACTCCACTACAATTCAGAGGTAAATAGTGTATTTTTACTCCACTACATTTATTTAATACATTAAGTTACTTTGGAGGTATAGATTATTAATAAACAATATAATCAACACTTAAATCAGGCTTACATCTGGATTAAAGTCACATTCTACCCAACAGTAAATAATACAGTTCCCCTCTGTGGGACGAATCACGATATTCTGAGTCTGAAGTCATTGAAATTATTTCGACCTTTACACTTTAATGCATCAATAATTATAATCAAAACATCCAATCTGCAGAATGTGTACTTACTTTTGGTACTTTAAGTATATTTTGATGCCAACACTTTTGTACTGTTCTTGAGTAACATTTTGAATGCAGGACTTTTACTTGGAACAGAGTATTCCTACTCTCTGGTACTTCCACTTTTACTTATGTACAATATCTGAGTACTTCTTGCCACTGATAAGCAAGTCTTTAAAAATAAAAACAGGGCATAATGAAAGTGAAAGAAAAGCACAAGAATGCCTTCTGACTAAGGTACATGAACGGAGATGTGGACGTGAGGGGACATGTAGGGTCTGTGCGTCTCGTCCAGTGAGAGGAAACAGCTGAGTGATGATCTAAATGCATTATGAGGCTAGGTTAAGTAAGGGAGTAATGGATTACATGTAATGGGATTACATAATCGGGTTACCAAAAAAAAGTAAGTGAATTCCATTACAGTTACAGAAAAAATATGTAATCAGATCACAGAGTTAGTCAAACCTAAAAAGAACATACAGTTGTATGTTGTATACAGTTGTTAAAGGATCCGATGTTCCTTTCTTCTCTTAGAGCTGTACTGTTCTGTAGGCTAATCTATACGCCTACTGCCTGAATCTGCTTTATGGTTTTCACTTTCTTTGGTTCATTTGTTCTTTTTTAATTCAGCAGGTGAACCTATATGTTCATAAAATAGTGTGAGTTTAACTGTGTGTATTCAAACGTATAATTTGCAGCTTAGAAACACAAGCTCCACACTTGCTCAAAGAGAGGGACGTGTAGCTGCACAGTAGTACGCCCTAGCACACAGGACATGTGTTGCACTGCAGCATCACAATCAGAATATAATATAATTTGTATTATAATTTCTTTTTTTTTTAATCTTTAATACTTTCTTTATGCATGATTAGGTAATATTAAGCTGTCTTTTGCTCTTTTCTGCTGTAACAATGTAAATGTCCCCTCTGTGGGACTAATAAAGGTATTCTGATTCTGAATAACTTTATTCGTCCCATCGAGGGGACATTTACATTGTTACAGCAAAGAGCCAAAGACAGCTTAATATCTCTCAAGAAGCACAATTAAAGATACAAATCTAGAAATTACACAATTTACAAGATACACATCCAGTACCATTAACAGTTAGGCAATATAGCAGCCAGGTGAAAGTTTTAAAGGTGGCAGTATAAATTGCACAGCTACGGTAAATATATTGCACATAAGTGGTATTGCACAAGAGCATGAGGCCAGAGGTGACTGAAGTCCTTCTATAGATCCTACGGAGGATAAATGTCGCCATCTGGTGTCAAACACTCTATGTCCTAGCAGGCTGTTGTTTCCTGAATGAATACGTTCATTTCCAAATTACGAATAAAACATAGAAAAAGCTACACAGTCCCTCATACCTGTGGAACGTCTGTACCCTGTGAGATCCAGATGTTTGACCTTTGTGAAGCGTCTGCATTTCAGAAGGAAAATCTGATGGACTCAAGTACTGTGGTCCTGTTTCATGATTGATTTTGAATCCCCCTTTTTTTTTTGCATTGTTTTATTATTTAAACAAGATTCGACTTTAGATATTGTGTTATTAAGATCAAAAGTTGAAATTGTTGTTCTATTCCATAAATGTGGTGAATCCAACAAAGATTATTGAGACAGAATCAAATAACTGAAGTTCAGAGTCACTTGGGTGCTGCAAAGAGGTGCAGGAAGTACAAAAGCTGAAAAAACACAAGTATCAGAAGTGAAAGTGCATGATATGCAGAATGATAAAGAAAAGGAAGGGTGGTTGTTTTGACATTGCTGAAATAGTATTTTAGAATGTGTTTTTATCAATCTTTGTTCCTTCTGTTGAGATGTTTTATTTTTGTTTTATAGCTAGATGAGTCCTCTATGTTCAGCTGCTAATAATGTTTCCCCTTTTTCTTTTACAAATGAGCTCTGCATATTCAAAGTAAGGCGAGGGGAAACATGTCACCTCTTGCTCACAGGTCCTTTAAATTCTTCCTATGATGAGCTTTCATACTCAATTGATACCTTTCTCCAATCAATAACTAGATCTTTTATCATTGAAACTCTGCTGTGTTTATTGTGTAGTAAAATTGGATTCAAAGCTGGAGCTGTATATAGTTTTTCTGGTACCACTTTACAATAAGACTACCCTTATAAAGGATTCATAAAGGGTTTATAATTAGGTTGTAAACCCTTTATTAATCATTAAGAACCATTTATAAAACAGTTCTAACATTGTTTTCATACAGGTTCACTATTTGGCAAGAGGACTAAGCCTTATATTGGCTATTTAGCGAGAATCAACTCAGTGAACAACAGATACCAAGGATGCTGGCTGATGAAGAAGACGAAGTAAGCCAGGTAGCCAATATAAGGCTTAGCAGTACAGATAAATGTGGGCTCACTATTTGGCAAGCAACCGGTCACAGTCTCCCTGATTATGTCATGTCTTATACAAGCTTATCAATGATTTATAAGTGTTCACAACCTAATTAATAAATGAATTGTAAACTATTCGTAAACCCTTTATTGTAGTCTTATTGTAAAGTGGTACTGTTTTTTTTATACACTATTCATTATTGTTCTAAAAAATGTGTCTGTGTCTATTGCTATGTGACAACTTGGTTTTGAGTTATATTTAAACAATTGACCGTTTTTTTGTAAAGTTTTTGTAAATGTGCTTCCTGTTTTCTTAAACGCTGGCACCACTGTCTCAGGATGAAATCATGGCACAGCACAAGTTTATGGAGGTTTTATTTTGTAAGCAGCCAGAAGTTCAGTGTCTGTATCTGCTGCTTACACGAACCATGAACCTGAACCTAGCTCCTGCAGCATTTACCGAGAACCACGTGATTCCCGGATAGTTGAGAGTGAGCGGATATCTTTCTGACTTTATGTTGCTCTGAGGAAGGAAACCGGTTTAGGTCAGAGGTGTATCAAAGTGATCCTCCTTATTTGAGTCAGTTTTTCAAAAACAGCAAAGCTAACTCCAATCAGAAGGTGTCATAACATTTTAAAGAGACAATACAGATGTTCTTAAATTGATTATTTGAACTTGTATTTTCTTTATGTGTGAACAACTGACCACCACCAAGACTATTAAATAAAGCCCCCATTTTCATTCATTTGAGAGTTGTTGCCCAGGACTCATGCGGGTTGGGGCTAATTTAAAAAGTATCAAACTAAAAACACACAATTACAGGAGTCAAAATAAGGCTACAGGAAGGAAATAGACGGTAATTCACCTTTATATATCAAGTAATATTCAACATTCATTATGGGAAATATGGTTAATTGTGGAGACATTGACATTTCTATTTGTTGGTGGATTAAGAAACACTAATATTCCAAGTCTTTGAGCAGAACCAGGGTAGCTGTTTCCCCTGGCCTCCAGTATTTAAAAATGGAGGCTCTGTTGCATTCAGGTGTCAGGTGTTTGGGTCTTGGACAGATGAGGAGGAGGAGGAGGTGCATAATGTTTACTGAAGTAAAAGTAGCAATAATGCAGAGTCAATTTGCAATTCTTCTGTATATCTGTAAATGATAGACTATCATATATACAGTATATTATAAGCTTATATTCCTGCTACTGCAGTATTTTTTATATTTTTAAAGAACATTTCAATTATCCAGAATTTTGTATATTGTTTATATTAGATATAGTATTTTTCATTTTCATTTTATTTTACTTTTCCACTTTTTAAGTATTTGTATTTTAATGTTAATGTCTAAGTCAAATAAAAATACTTAAGTACAAGTCCTGCACTTGAAATACTTTAAGTAAAGTAAAAATGATTCGTTATGCAAAATGGCCGTTTTAAGCACCAGATTTAAAAGAAAATTATTAAAAGTATTTGTGCATTTTATATTCCTAATCCTCACTTCAATGTTGCACTTGGTAAAAGTGTGGTTAATCTCAACTACTTTATGGGTAGCGTAACCTATAATAATATGCGCGTTGTATTATTTATTATATCTATAACCTAAATCTGCTATGACAATTTAAACAAAATTGTGGAGTCTTGGATTTAGTCAGAGTTGTCGTTCGTTATCACCACCCGGAAACGAGTTAAAAACTCAGGGAGCAAGCACACAAGTCGTTGTAAACAACACGTACCTTTATTTTGTGAATCAGGAAGTTGTGTAAACCGGGTAAACCGGGTAAACCGGGTAAACCCCGTTTGACTTGACAGAGCTCAGCGGAATGATTTCTCGAGAATCACGTGATATGTGGGAGTACCGGGTGTATATAAGGAACGCAGGACAGGACTGGAGCAACGCGCTGTTTTACATTACTGACCTGCTGCTCTATCGATAAACAACAAGACAAAACAACAATAACCACAAGGTAAGCCATTGTGTTGTCTGTTGGAATACGTAGAAGAAGTACTGTTATGTTAGGGTGCTTCATATTTTCAAGTAGCAACTTCAAAGCTTTAAAGTATTTTTGTCAATAAATGAATGTCCCTGTTAGGCTATATAACCTAGCTAGTTTTGATTGTTAGCATCATGTGCACTTTTTAAGTAGCCAATTACCATAATGATGAATACAAATGCAATAAAACTGTTAAGCACAATTGGAAAATACGATTTATGTGAAAAGACCTAGCCCTCTGTTGTATGTACTTTACTTTATTTGTTTACTTTTCTGTCTTGTCAATTTCTGTTATGTTCTATTTACGATGTTTTACTTTGAAGACTCTTAATGCCATGTTGTTTGTACATGCATTTTTCCAAAAAATAACTTTAAAAAAAAAAAAGTAGCCAAAGTGTAAGACAAAATGTAACTGTTCACTCAACTACTTTTATTTGACAAAGTTAAATGGGACTTTAAATGCAGGACTTGTACTGGTAATGGAGTATTCTTACACTGTTGCATGTCTGCTTTTACTTAAGTATAATAATAATAAGTACTTCTCCCTCATGTGCTGACTGCAGATGGCCCAGTGGCAGGACCTGCTGCGGCTGGACGCGGCCCTCCAGGCCCGAGTGAGCCAGCTGTACGAGGGGAGGTTCCCCAGAGAGATCCGCCACTACCTGTGCGTCCTGATAGAGAGCCTGGACTGGTAAGAGGCACTGACAGATTGTAGTCATTACATACATTGCCCAATGCTCTGTATATGCTATTGATACACCTTAGGGGTCTTAAAAGCCACGTGTGCGTTGTTGTGCTGATTCAGCAGCAGAGCGGGATAGCTATGGCTTATGTTGTTTATACCTTCGAGCATTATGCATAATCTACATGTTTTTAATGTAATAATGTATTTTCCCAGAATATGAACTGCCTTTTTTGTTATTGGAACCAGGTAGCCTAGGCATGTTAATGTGGCAACAATGAACACTTTTTTTTACATTTTACAATTAACTCAATGAACACAACTGTGTTTTGATTATAATTAGATCAAGAGGTTAAATTCTATTGATTTCAAAGTTCTAGCCCACCATCGAGCGCTGCTGAAAAGCAGGGACGTGCACAGACATTTGGAGGGGCTATTGCTCTAAACTGGAAAAAGGGCCTCCCCCTGAAAAAAAGCACAAGACCTTTTGAAAATTGTAACTTGTTTTTGTAAAAGAAACCAAACGATTATTACATCAACTAAATTGAACAGTAATTCACATCTCATAACAAAATAAGCTAAGGTGACCATACTTGCATTCGGTGACTTGATTTAAAAAATGAAAACCAGGGAAATTCTTTGTTTTGCGGTCCATAACTCATTAACATATCTAATGTTATGCCCCGGCCACACGAGGACGAAAACGGCTAAACGCATAGGATTAACGCAAACGCAATCACAAAAAAGCTTCCGTCCACACGCAATATTCACCGGATAGTGTCTGTCCACACGAGACCGCTCCGTTTAGCTCCAACCGCTGGAGAAGCTGCAGTACATATGCAGGAGCCTGTACGTGGCGCTGTAACTTCCTCCACAAAAGTAGCGAAGAAGCATGGTTGTCATGGTTGCCCTTCTGTTTATTCTCCGCGGTGGGGGCCGAGGGAACCGGGCAGAGTTTTTCGCCAGTCAACGTGTATTAAAGTTTAAATCTTCCGACAAAATTATAAAAGTGCCGGTCAAAGGTCTTCTTTGTTATTTATTGAGCTTTAAAACAAATTAATAACGACTCTATATAATATAATAATAAAATACATGGAGCCTCTCTTTTTCCTCCCTCTCTTTGGACAGCGCCAGTGTCTGTCTCATGCAGCAGCTGATCCAGTAATGAGTGACCCGGCCGACAGTAAAAATAAACATATTTATAACTAGTTTAGATAGTTTGAGAGGTAATTAAAATAGCTAAGGGTGATGATCGGACTTGAAGTGTGTGTTTTACTCCGTTCACCGCTGCAGGTGAGCAGAGCTGCGTGTCTCCGTCCTGTCAGATTAGACTTCACTCGCGTTTAGGTCCATATCGAGAGAAAGATAAATAATCTGAATTCAGTGTGCAGTTTACTTTGACGCGGGAGTGAGCAGCAGAGGTGGGGAGAGGCGGGGCTATTGCCTCATCATTATCAGAAAATGATCGTATAGGGCGTACACACGGAGCCGTTGGACTCCCCCAGAGCGTTGCGTATGCCGTTCTATTCACCTTGGGACCCGTTATCGTTTACGCAGTCGTTTAGTGCCGTATTCTGTCGTCCTAGTGTGGCCGAATGGTCTATATGACACAAAACGGTAACGGAAACGACCGTTTTCGTCCTCGTGTGGCCGGGGCATTAGTAACTATTAAAGATAAAATGGGGACAATTCTATTCTAATGTAGTTTGACCAGACCATTGGTCAAACTACATTAGGCTAATGATAAAATAGGGCCTCTAACTTAAATAAACTCACTAATTAATTAAACCAGTTCAATACGCATTATTCTTATCATTCTTTATGAGCGCAGTGACGGTAAGGTATCAATTACTTATTTATTTAGTATTCCATAACTTAGTAACAGATATGGTCAAACTAAAGTGGTAGAGACATGGCAGAAATCCTACAATGAAGCGGGACATTGAACTGTTCACCCGTGAGAGGGCGATCAAGAAAAGAGAGCGAGCGGCCCCGTTGAGGGAGTTTACAGATGAAAAGACACAGAAAGACAGAAGCACAATAACAACAAGTAGGCTATATTTAGGTGTTTTTTGTAAATAACCGCCGGTATCAAGAGGAAGTAAAGTCCCCTGGTTTGTCCCTTATACCCTAACTGCCATGAGACAACTCAAAATCAAGTTTCCAAAATCCGACACTGAGGTGGTCTTAACGCACCGGCAGATGACAGCGCTGACAAAGTGTGTTTCCCGCAGCGAGACGCTATAATACTAATTGTGGGTTGATTCGGCCACTACAGAAAAAATACAAACAAACTCTCGCTCTCTCCAGAGGGGCAGGTCAGCCAGAAAGGCCAAACGGGCCGTTGCCCGGGCAACAATAGCCCGTACCTGTGCACGTCCCTGCTGAAAAGCAACAAATAAAATATGTACCATAAATGCCTGAGCTGGCAAAATCATTTTCTTTATTGTTCAATCCCTGTTTTTCTCAAAAACATGACAGAAAACCAGAAATCAAAGGGTTCGTTTTTCAAAAGTTTTGCTGTCTAAATGTCCTCCAATTCGGAAATGACACTTTAAAATATATAAGTGTTTTCACTTTTTGTCACATCTGCCAGTTTTACATTTCACCATCAGGTTTTTCAGCAGTGCAATGCATTTGGGCGTTAACATTTTATTCAAGTCATTTCACCGTCAGGTTTGTCAGCTAAGTTAAGGAACAGGTCTGTGCAGCTGTCAGCATTCACATTTTCATGTAACCATTTTGAAGCACTCTTTTGTAGACATGCACAGTGGTCAAATCTGGCTGTGGGGGCTTTATTTTGTCAATTGTTATTGTCCTTATTAAATGAAATACATATTATTCTATATTTTAGTCAATTATATTTATCTCAATCTAGTTATTACAAACAAATTGGCTTCTTGCAGTTCTTCAGTCAGCATTCACTCAAATAAGCTGTCATTCACACACATTCACTAACTGATGGCCATGCCATTGGAAGCACTTCTTCCTAGAAGACACATCAACATGTAGATTGCAGGGGATTGAACCAGCAACCTTCCAATGGGAGGAACACTACGTGCCACAGCAGCTGCTCATCATGAATTATGAGCAGGAAAATGGGGAGGTCAATGAACGCAGTTCTTTCTTTGTCCTGGTGACCGCTGCTGAGTAAACGGGCTCTTGTCCTGAAAGATGATATATATTTCTAATTATATATGAAATACTGTAATTTAACAGACTTTGGGGAAAACTCACATTTAATATACAGACCTATATATATATACAGTCAATAACTCCTGTTATAATATGAGAAAGTAATAAGAAAGAGATCAAATAAGAAAATCTATCATCCTCAAAAACGCAACAAAAAACAAGGTATTGTAAATGAATACAGTTGGGACACAGATTATGCACCAAGGTTAAAAAATAAACTGAGTTAAGGTGGGGTTTATCCCACTATTATGTGTCTCCTAATAGGGTAGTACAAATTAAATAATTTGAGGAAGTGGATTGATATTTTGTCCCCCAAGGTTTATCCTCATTCTACACAAGTAGTTGGACACAATCCCTGAATGAATGAACATCTTCTGTTGCTCTTTGCTAGGGATTTGGCAGCTGGGGATGAAAATGCAGCAAGCACATGTTTCCATGCACTGCTGGAGGATCTGCAAGAACAGTGGATCCGTTCCGTGCAGGAGAACATCCTCTTACAGGGACCTGATTACACTGGGATGAAGGACTACCTGCTGGTAGGGCAGACGCGCTGATATGTAAACTCAACATTCAATAACCAATACACCTTGGAGCCTCGTTTGATTTGATCATGTTTTTTTTTTACTTAGAAAAACTTTGAATATAAGCCACTGAACCTGGCTGTAATCCTCTCTGAGTGCCTGAAGGAGGAACAGAAGATCAAGGCTTCAGCCTCTGAAGCACAGGTAAGATGATTTAAGGCGGACAAACAGTGCAGGCTGCAGAAATGCTTTAAACATCAATCACTTGCCACGAGATTATTCAAATGTGTCTAATCTTTTAGATTTGTATTGCTCCTCCGACAGGAGACATCTTGATGTTTACAGTTCTTACAGTTACACAACAGACACATTCTGTCTGTCAGTCTGTTGTGTAATTGTCAACAATAATGCTAATAAAAGCAACATATAAAATAACACCTTTGTTTTTGTCAGGCTTGTGGCAGTCCAGACATTGATCAAAAATGGAAATGGAAAGATATGGACAACAAAATCAATGAACTGAAAAGACTGATTATGGTAAACTCCTTTAGTCTGTCACTTTTTTATTGATAGAACATTTGTTATTGATGAGAAAAATACTTTTTAAATGTGTGAACTTTAATGCAGGAGGTGAAGAAGGAAATGAAGTCACTGGAGATTCTTAATGACAACCTTGACTTCATACAGAAGACCTGGCAAAACGAAGGTATGGTAGGAGACGTAAAGACACCGGCGACAGGTGTGTTGTGAGTTTGTGCTTCATCGATGTCTCATTGGTGATTTGCAGTGGAGCAGGACATTGGATTGGCCCACTCCCATGCTGTTGTGGAAGAGGAATGTTGTAAGCGGACCAACTTTATCATACAAACAAAGCAGGTACTGTAGATGTACGCTTGGTGAGATTTATACAAACTGATAAACTGTTGTCTTAAAGCATTTTACATTTTTAGCAGTTTAAAAAAAATGTTTAAGGAAATGTTTGGACTTTGTTTAATTTATTTTTTTAAATCTCCAAACTAGTGACAAAGATACATTCTCGGTTCTGATAGTACTGATAGAATACATTTTTCAGGCAGTATGAGAAAAATAAAGAGCTTTTTGAACATTATAGCATGGAAACATGTCACAGTAGAGACACTACATACAAATAGGAACCCCAAAATGTGCAGAATAGGGCCCCTTATTTATTTATGTCTTGTCATTGCACTGTTGAGGAACCTGCGATCTAAGTTTTTCATACATTATATAATTACACAGTAGTTGTGTAGATGATGACAATAAACATTTTTGCTTTTTATTGTTTTGTATTATTTAATAGTGAACGATTCATTTTCTTGCTGTTCTCCTAAATAGTAGTTTTATCATTATTTAGAGTCATTATTTAATTTAATTTGGGTCGTTTTTTTGAATGCGTTTATTTTGAATGCAGCTTCAGGAACCAGGTGGTTTAGGTATTGATTGTTAGACAGGTGAAGAAAGGGCAGAGGAGAGGAGGCTGTGGTTCATTGTACTTCAGGATCGTTGGATAAATCATACAAACTATATTCTTGCCTAGACATTGGATTTATCCCTGCGTTTCAGAGCGTGATGGAGTTTGTTTTTGCTTTAATTTATTTTTGTGGTGCACCAAGCATACAAGCATAATGAGACCACCCGAACACTTGTTCACGTGTTTGCTGGATTGCAGGTGGTGCTGCAGGAGATCGTGAACATTTTGAACCTAGCTCAGCCGATTGTGGCGACTCTCACCGAGGTGGAGCTGTCCGAATGGAGGCTCAGGCAGCAGCTGGCCTGCATTGGAAGCCCGGTCGACACCTGTCTGGACCATCTCCAGAAGTGGTGAGAACTTATAAGAACTACTTTGCCTTTACATGGGTCATGTTAGGGAGGACACTTTGAGCCACTGAACTTGGCTATAATCCTCTCTGAATGCCTGAAGGAGGAAAGGTGGTGTGTGTAGAGCTCTGTAAAGTTAAACTGTGGCAGCCTGGCGTTGGTTTTAGAATATTTGAATAGTGAACACCTGCGAGTAATGCCGATGCCGAGCCACTTTCCGAGGCTGCAGATATTTCAGACATATAAATCAATTAGCCCAATATCACAGATGAAACATTTGTCTCAGTGGGCTCCACAGTGTACAGCATGCAACACTCTGTCTTTAGACCCTGTGAGGGACGAGGAAAAACTCCCAAGAAACCCCACAAATAATGTTAGAAACCTCGGGGAGAGCAACAGTTCAGGGATCCTTCTACCAGGACGGACGTGCAATGGTGTATAGATTAAAGAGAGATGAAATACAGTCCATATGGTATAAATGATAACGTGAATATGTATACAAATAAAAATAAATATGGATCCAGCTGCATGTCAACAATATTCCAGGTTCCTCCAAAAATAACAGTCCTTCTACAATTCTACAACAATTTAATGAACACAAGAAGATGTTTTTATATGTTTTAACAACTGTGGCAATCAGAAGCTGTAAGCATCATTTAAAGCTCGATCAACCATCACAACTTAACCATGCACTGCCTGCCTGTCATAGTTGTGGTTGGTACCAGTGGCCCTACACCCCAGATGACAACTTGTGTGTGCTTATTCTGCCTGTGCAGGTTCACAGCTGTGGCCGAGGTGCTACTGGGAGTGCGCGAACAGCTGCAGAAACTGAAAGAGCAGAACAACACACCCGACAGCACCAATGCCTCCAACCTGCCTGGCCTCATGGCAATAATTGAGAACCAAACACTGTCCTTGTTCACACAACTACTTGCAAAGTGAGTCACGGCTCCTGGACTCTTTTGTGTCATTCACACACACAGACTGAAGCATGCACTTTCATATTTCTGACACTTTTCGTTGGGGTCTTGCTCTGCAGTGCTCTGGTGGTTGAGAAACAGCCGATCATGTTGAGTTTACCACAACGACCTCTGATACTGAAGACCGGGGTGCGCTTCTCCGTGAGAGTGAGGTAAGGCTGCATGCATTGGGTGACATCACAGGAATAACATGAAGGGGCAAAGCAAACAAGACAACATGATTTGGGTGGAGTGATGGCGTATTCGTATAGGCCGCCAAGGAAGTGAGCATCGCAAAGGGGTCCCTCCACAAAATCGAATGGGAATTTTGCATTTCAGTTTATTGCAGAAAATAAGCTCTGTGACAAACACACATTCATTCTTATCACGTTTTGTTCAGCAGGATAATTGCCTCATAACACCGCTTTGTGATTTTTGAAGCGTAAATGCAATCGCCAGAAGTAAATAGCTGATGCTAGGCTATAAACAAACTACATCAGTCACATGGCTGCGCATCACAATTGCTAAGCTGAAGGCTGACGTTTATTTGAGTTACTTGTTTATACTTGTTACACAGTTTTTATAACACGTAGAAGCTTTGGACATTCACAGGTGAGGTATTTACTGACGTATTTTATGTCCGAGAGCAAAATGTGAAAATCTATTGGGCTTGTTTTAACCACAGACCTTATTTCAGGCTTTTAGCTACATTTTAACACATTCAACAAACCGTTGAACGAGGGAACCAGAAGTGGTAAAATGCTAAGTTATTTCTGGCTTTTAGGACTTGTTTCTGCACTCTCTTGGGTTGAGTTATTGTGAGTGTTTGCCAGTGGATGGGAGGGCTATTTAAAAAGAAGAAAAGAAAGAATGAACAAATAAGAAGATGACCAAAGAATGAGCAGAAGATACTACTTTAGAACCAGCCACTATACCCACTGAGAGAGCGTCTGTTCATGTGGGAACAGATTTTTATTTCTAGGCTAGTCATGAAACAACAAGCCATCACAGAGTTGTGATGAGATGTGTTTGTGACAATAAAGCAACGTTAATATTTTCAGAATAAAATACTAAGATTGCTCCTTTTTTAGTAGACGGCAGCGACGGCATCCTGGATTCACAGCAATTTCTTTTTTTTGAAGATCTTTCTTCATTAGTATTTTAGTTTTTTAATTTGTCTTTTCAGGTTCTTGGCAAACCTTCCAGAATTCAAGTGCCTGCTCAAAGTCAAACCTGTATTTGACAAGTAAGTCAAAGAAAACTGGTCTGAGATATTAATATAATGCAGTATTATTTATAATAAAAAAAAACCTTTACCTGTTATTTTCTTATCAATCTTTTTGCATATTGTTCTCCCTGAAAATTAGGGATGTTGAAGAAGTCAAAACGGTTAAATGGTAAGTAGAGGGTACCAAAACAATTTAACATTTTATATATAAATTGATGAATTGTTTCTTTAAACTCTTCACACATTGTTGGACGTAGACAGACTCTAGCCTGATGTCGTTGTAGGTTCCGTCACTTCGACTTCAACCGCGATGAGTGTAAAGTGTTGGACGTGGACTCGCCCAATGGAGATTTGGTGACCGAATTTGTTCACATGGTAAGAAGCTCTTCCAACTGGTTAACTGGTGAACTTTTAAAGATTTTAAAAGTTCTCTTTTTTTCAGTCTCTCAAGGAAATCAAAGGAAGAACGAAAGGATCAATTGAGGTAAGATGAGACATTCAAATTTGAATAACCGTTGTTTGTACTAACGTCACTACTACTTCTAATAAATGCTAAAGTTTATCTATCTGCTGAAAAAGTCAAATGAAAAAAAAAGAAAAGTAAAGATAATGGGTGTTTCTCAATGTCGAGTACGCTTGCTTGGTAGCACATGTCTTCCGAGTCACTTGCTTCAGAAGCGAGGCAAGAATACTTCCTGGCATTTGGAAAACGAAGAGTGGAACAGGCGAGCAAGTGTGCGTCATATGAGAGGCCCCGCCTTACATTTTCTGCCACAGATTTGAGGAAATCTGGCATGTCAAATCGCACACCTATTTGTCAAAAGCAGGGACGCAGGTCATCAAAATCCAAGGCTCAAGGCTAACATTGCTCGCTAGCTCAACAACATCCTCCGTGACCGCCGCCACCGTTCCTTGTGGTTGCTGGCCTATTTCGTCACTTTTTGCTTTTTTGAAAAAGCTATTTATTGATGCAGCCGCCTCACTCTCTTCTTTTTCTTTCTTTTCGCAGCCCCGCTGCTCACGTGACAAAATGTGACATGAGTGAGGGTGGGGCTGTGATTCGGCTATACACTGCCGCCACGTAGTAATAAAGTTGAGCGCATACATAGTGAGACCTACAGTACAGAGACGGTTTAGAAAATATATTAATTTGACCCTATAGAAAAGCTGTGTTATTTATGGTGAAGAGTGAGTGTCATTTAAAACAATGTATGATGAGTGAGGTTGTGCCCAAAAAAGACAAGCTTTTTTTATTTATCTTGTCACTGAGGGCCCTCTTTGCTCAAGGGCCCCTGGGCACTTGCCCAGGTTGCCCATATGGTTAATCCGGCCTTGGCTCTGGGGCAGCTTTACTCGAGATTGAGAAACACCCTCCGTCAAGTGTCCAAACAAGATGGCAGCCATGCCAAGGCACTACTTAAGCAAAGTGGTGCTTACATGCTAACAATGGTAATGCTAACTTGCTGATATTTAAGGGGCCCTATTCAGCTTTGTGTGGTTTTCCCTTTCCTGTAGTGTGTTATAAGATAAAGATAAGAGGTACTTTATTGATCCCAAATTGGAAAATGTTTGCGTTGCAGCAGCAAAAAAAACAAAACAAGGCATTGCACATAAGTAGAAATTAAAGAGTAGAAATAAACAATTCTAGAAATTAAACATCTCACAATAGAAGTAAAATGGCATTCAAAAGTAGAAAATATACAGTAGACCGTGAAGATCCATCCATCCATCTTCTCCCGCTTATCCGTGGTCGGGTCGCGGGGGTAGCAGTTCCAGCAGAGAGCCCCAAACTTTCTTTTCCCTGGCGACATCAACCAGCTCTGACTGGAGGATCCCCAGCGAAGAGATATAATCCCTCCACCTGGTCCTAGGTCTACCCCTTGGTCTCTTCCCAGCTGGACGTGCCTGGAACACCTCCCTAGGGAGGCGCCCAGGTGGCATCCTAACTAGGTGCCCGAACCACCTCAACTGGCTCCTTTCGACGCGACCGTGAAGATAACAAATCTATTAACTCTGACAATAAAACACGATTGAAAGGCTTTAGACTAAATATAAAGCAGGATATTATTTACACTAAGTGTTATATAGGTTTTTGTGCATGTACATGGTATCAATGGCTAAAAATCCCTGTGTTCCTTTCTGAGGGAGTTTCTCTCCCACATACTCCCTCCACATGAGCGTTTGTGCAGAACATCACATATCAATACCACCTATACAGTGGGGCAAAAAAGTATTTAGTCAGCCACCAATTGTGCAAGTTCTCCCACTTAAAAAGTAAAAAAGTAATTTTCATCCTAGGTACACTTCAACTATGAGATAAAATGAGAAGAAAAAAAAAATCCAGAAAATCACTGTCTGATTTTTAAATAATTTATTTGCAAATTATGGTGGAAAATAAGTATTTGGTCAATAACAAAAGTTCATCTCAATACTTTGTTATATACCCTTTGTTGGCAATGACAGAGGTCAACGTTTTCTGTAAGTCTTCACAAGGTTTTCACACACTGTTGCTGGTATTTTGGCCCATTCCTCCATGCAGATCTCCTCTAGAGCAGTGATGTTTTGGGGCTGTCGCTGGGCAACACGGACTTTCAACTCCTTCCAAAGATTTTCTATGGGGTTGAGATCTGGAGACTGGCTAGGCCACTCCAGGACCTTGAAATGCTTCTTACGAAGCCACTCCTTCGTTGCCCGGGCGGTGTGTTTGGGATCATTGTCATGCTGAAAGACCCAGCCACGTTTCATCTTCAATGCCCTTGCTGATGGATGGACGTTGTCTCTCAAAATCTCACGATACATGGCCCCATTCATTCTTTCCTTTACACGGATCAGTCGTCCTGGTCCCTTTGCAGAAAAACAGCCCCAAAGCATGATGTTTCCACCCCCATGTTTCACAGTAGGTATGGTGTTCTTTGGATGCAACTCAGCATTCTTTCTCCTCCAAACACGTCTAGTTGAGTTTTTACCAAAAAGTTATATTTTGGTTTCATCTGACCATATGACATTCTCCCAATCCTCTTCTGGATCATCTAAATGCTCTCTAGTAAACTTCAGACGAGCCTGGTCATGTACTGGCTTAAGCAGGGGGACACGTCTGGCACTGCAGGATTTGAGTCCCTGGCGACGTAGTGTGTTACTGATGGTAGCCTTTGTTACTTTGGTCCCAGCTCTCTGCAGGTCATTGACTAGTTCCCCCGTGTGGTTCTGGGATTTTTGCTCACCGTTCTTGTGATCATTTTGACCCCACGGGGTGAGATCTTGTGTGGAGCCCCAGATCGAGGGAGATTATCAGTGGTCTTCTATGTCTTCCATTTTCTAATAATTGCTCCCACAGTTGATTTCTTCACACCAAGCTGCTTACCCATTGCAGATTCAGTCTTCCCAGCCTGGTGCAGGTCTACAATTTTGTTTCTGGTGTCCTTTGACAGCTCTTTGGTCTTGGCCATAGTGGAGTTTGGAGTGTGACTGTTTGAGGTTGTGGACAGGTGTCTTTTATACTGATAACGAGTTCAAACAAGTGCCATTAATACAGTTAACGAGTGGAGGACAGAGGAGGCTCTTAAAGAAGAAGTTACAGGTCTGTGAGAGCCAGAAATCTTGTTTGTTTGTAGGTGACCAAATACTTATTTTACCGAGGAATTTACCAATTAATTCATTAAAAATCCTACAATGTGATTTCCTGGATTCTTTCCCCCATTCTGTCTCTCATAGTTGAATTGTACCTAGGATGAAAATTGCAGGCCTCTCTCCTCTTTTTAAGTGGGAGAACTTGCACAATTGGTGGCTGACTAAATACTTTTTTGCCCCACTGTATATTGATAGATCTGTTTCTCCTTTAGGGTCGCCTGGCAGTCACTGAAGAACTCCACATCATTACGTTTGTGACAGAGTTCCGCCATGTTGGACTGGAACTCAACATTGAGGTGAGTAAACTCTTCCATTCTGATCAGAGGCCCTTACATTTCTGTTTGCGGCCGAACTATAAGATAGCATATATTTAAAAGATGGAACTATTGGAGAGGAAAATGGCAGTAGCGAGGCAGTTTCTTTAATGTCTTCTGCTGCTGTGTTGGGCCAGGCCAGCACTCTGCCTGTGGTTGTCATCTCCGCTACCACGCAGGTCTCCAGCGCCTGGGCCTCCATCATGTGGAACAACATGCTGTCCACCGGTGACTCCAGGGTAAAAACACACTCCTCCGCACCAAAACATTTAAAATATATTGTTTTTGCTGCATGATAATGAAAACACATGAAAATGTCGTCCTAACGATACCTTTTACTTCAGTCGAACATTTGTAAAAGAGGTGTTAATATGCTGAAATTATCTTGCTGAACAAAATGTGTAAGTATCATAAACATGTGTTTGCCAAAGATCTTATTTTCTTCAGTATTCCAAATGTAACGGAAAAATCCCATTGCTTTTCATAGAGGGGGCCCTTGTGACGCTAGTTTCTGGGTCATCTTCACTGTTTCAACCATTGTCTTGTTGATTGTTAATCCATCGTTTGGTCTTAAATCACATTCTAAGTGTGTGCCTTTGTTCTGCAGAACCTGCAGTTGTTTGTGGACCCTCCTCCCCTCACATGGGAGCAGCTGTCCCAGGTTCTCAGCTGGCAGTTTTTGTGCACTGGCAAGCGGGAGCTCGACGAAAACCAGCTCTCCGTGCTAAGAGACAAGATTGTGGGTGAGTGTTTGAGCGTGTATTCCACAGAACTGAACCCTGTCAAATCCTAATGAATAGCCTGCAAAAAGAGAGTGTACCTCTATTCTGAACTTGTCAGAAAATGTAGCTTTTCATTGGATCGGCATTTGGGACTGCGTTTTTTGTGAGCTTCCAAGTAAAGTATTACAATAGATATGCAATTTGGGAAATATGCTTATTCATGTTCTTGCTGAGAGTTATATGAGGATACAACTCCACTTGTTTTTTTGTTACTGCATAGCCATAACAGGGTTGCCAACTTTGGGTACCTGGCTGGAGTGAGATTTTGATATCATGGGTTTAATTACACATCTGCACACAAAATGACTGCTATCGTGTCAGTAGCGGGACCTTAGCATATAGGATATACATATACAAATACACAATATTGGACACAGACTACAAAGGGGCAAAGGGCACACAGTTTAATTCACTAATGAAAGTCAAACACATCTTTGTTTCCACTGTTTTATTGTGTGCCTGTCGCAATAAACAATTAATTGACTTATCGGCTCCGGAGTGTTTTTATTGGGTAATCTATGGTAGGGCTAACCCATACAGTGGTGGGGCTCAAGTCAGTATTTGCAATGTAATTACATACACACTATATCGCCCCCCTTGACAGTGAAACGCCACGTGAGGTTTAGATTATTTCCCTGTCTCAATCCAAATTGAACTGTATGAAATAAAAAGGCACATTTGTCTTGTAGTAAATAAAAAGGGTGACCTGGAGCCAATCCTGCAACTTCCCCACAGGTGAAAGAGTTGACATGCTGAAAACCCAACCCCTGTAGGGGGGTCTGGGGGGATTCTCCCCCAGGAGATTTTTTGAAATACTAACATAAAATACACATTCTGGTACTCTCTTGAGAAGACAAATAAATACATCTATTACTACACGGCATACTTAAATGAAGCTGAACCTGCTGCTGCTCCTGCTCCTCACAGAGAGAAGAGGGAAGAGGCTGTGAATGACTTTACATTGTGGATACGGGTGGATAGCCCCCATTGTTCTGTGTGTCAAAATGAAAGACAGCCCACACACCTATCAATCATCAAACCGTGGGGTCTTATTTCATTACGTGTTGATTTCTATCAACACGTAATGTTGTATCGACGTATAGAGATGTACTACAGCAAAAGTATTCTCCGTCGGGACTTCCTACAACAACACCACGCCGTTATCTTGATTCTGATTGGCCAGAAGACATTATCAAAGATGTTCTATTGAGAAGACGATCACTGCGTGACAAGTTTTCAAAACCGTTTCTAGTCTTCGGTATTCTTGTTTTTTGGCGTGAGAATAGTTTGGGCAGCGTGAGATTGAGAGTGAAAGCGTGTGTCACACGCCAGATGCGTGAGAGTTGGCAACCCTGGCCATAAGCAAGTTAGCCTAGCATGTCACAAAGATGAGCTAACCAAGCGCCTCTATGTCTGTATAAAAAAGTAACGATTTAAAAGCATTGATATCAGTAGGATTTAAGATTGTGTTTTTTTTAAGCAAATCTATTATGGTTATTGAATCAAAGCGTGATTGGATAAACCAAAGATTAAAAGGATGATGTAATCATTTCTCTACTTCAGAGTTCATGTTATATTCATGATATTTCTTCTGTCATTTTTCATTTCTTCACAGATGATCCTGATGATCTAGTTCACTGGAGCAAGTTCTCCAAGGTGAGTGTTGAGCAAGGTGCCGATTATGCTGTGCTGTACACAGTTACAAACTCCAGAACTTTACTGTTTGTGTTTACATGTTGACTTTTGCTTTCCAGAATGAAAATGCCTGGCTCTGGATTGATGGAATCCTGGATCTGATCAAAAAACACTTGGTTGATCTGTGGCGGGATGGGTAAGTCATCTGAGCACTTTCTTTCTGTTTGGCTCATTCACATTCATAATGAGGCAGTGGTCCACATACCAGCACGTCATGCTTCCCAATCAACTGAGCTCTGGTTATATTATGTGTGTGGGCTTCAGGTCCATCATGGGGTTCATCAGCAGGGAAAGAACAGCTGAACTGTTGAAGGAAAAACAGACCGGGACCTTTCTGCTCCGCTTTAGCGAGAGCAAAACAAATGGAGCCATCAGCTTCAGCTGGGTCGACAACTCCAATGGTGGTATGTTTGTTCATTTGGAGCTTTAAAGCCAAAAGGCTCTACAAGTCTGAATTGAGTTTGAATGAGGTACTTTTCCATAGCCAGTGGAATGAGTCGTAAACCTGGAATTGAGATAACATTTTAGACCTTTGGGGTTCCCTCATCTCAAAGTCAGTGGTATTTCAAATAAGTTATTTGTTGGATACCTGAAATAAGGTCTGTTGTTAATATAAGATTCACACGTTTTGATTTAAGACATAATATATGTTAGAAAATGCCCCACTGGCGAATGTCTGAAGCATCTAGGTGTCATAAAAAAGGCGGTTGCTAACGAGTGACCAAGTCATGTCACTGTGATAAAGTTTGTTAATAGGCGTAATATCATATTTTTTACATCTGGTGATTGCATTCATGATTGAACAATTCTAACAGTGAATTTTTATGTGGCGATTAACCTGCTGAACATAACGTGAAAATATCATAAACTTGTGTTTGCCAGATTGTATTTTCTGCAATCCAATGGAAAACTCATTGGCCTTTTGTCGAGGAAACCCACGATCAGGGTCGGCCTACAATAAATGTTTCCTCCTTGTACCTCTTTATAGATGCAGACAGGAGTAACATCACAAAAGCAGAGCAATGCAATGTTGTGGCCGCAGGCAGTAGCCAAACAATATTTAAAAAAGCTTTACCTTGCAGACTGCCCTTTCTGACAGGAACTGAAGCCGTTATCTATGCTCTCTTCGGAGTACCAGACTGCATTGAGAAAAACCATCCTTTTACCTCCAAGAACAAAGGATCTGCTGGTTGACCCCTGCCTTGCTCGATTAGGTAGTCATCATGCGGATTTGTTGAATCCGAAGCAACCCTTCAAAGTCACACAATAACATGATTGCATTTTTGAGGTTTCTAAAATCCATTCTGCTGCTGCGCCCCTCCCCTCAGAACTAACAAAGCTCCATGCTGGTACTTCTGTCTGTTTCTTTGCCATCTACTGTAGACACTGGCTTTGGGTAACATATGATAAGATTACACTTTATTGTCAGATCGAGTCTGACATTTTTCACATCACAGCAGCTCCATTTGAAACATCAACAAGGACAAATATTTAAGACAAGATACAAGGGAGGGAACGGACATCTAACATCACAATCACTGAAGAGAAACATGTTCAAGACCCTCTATCGTACATTAGATCTGGGACCTAACTCTGTATTTACTGTAAGAATTGACTTGTGCGCAACAGTACTCCAGTCTGACCCTATTCAATCGTGGGACCCTATATCTCCGATTTGGTGGTAACAATACATATTCACTGTTCAGGAGATGGTTGGGTTCAGAGATGATAAGTTCCTCATACAACCCATCCTCAAAACCTTCAAACTCCAGTCGGCTGTCCCATCCTGAATTAAGTTATTTCTCACACTCATATCTGTCCTCTTCCTGTATGTTGTTCGCCTGCAGCGCCTTTTGTGCATTCAATAGATCCCTACACCAAGGACGAGCTGGAGAAGACGTCTCTGCCGGACTATATCAACACTTACAGTCTGAGAGGCCGGAAGAGCAGACACACCAACCCCCTGCTCTACCTGTACCCAGACATCCCCAAAGACACCGCCTTTGGACACTACTTCACCAACACTGGTACTGTTACCATGGCTACTGTTTACTGTTTGAGAACAAAATGTCTTTATTCACCAAGAACACTAACCATTAACCAGTCTTTAAACACTGCCAGAGCCAATACCTTCTTCCTGTTGGTGTTTACTTCCTGTCTGTCTTCTTCTGCTGTTCCCTTTAGTGTTCACTTCCGGTCTGTCTTCTTCTGCTGTTCCCTTTAGTGTTTATTTCCTGTCTGTCTTCTTCTGGGCTGAAGTCAAATAGTCCATTTAGCTTAGGAACCTTCCTAACGGAGTGAAATGACCCGGAAGTCCCTCAGTGGCAGCCATGATAAGTGCCGTTCGAATTCTCTAGATGAAACTTCCTTTATAACCTCCTTTAGCTTAGGAACCACTGGACCTCCCTTGACGAAAGGAGAGGAGAAAATGCTGCCCCACAATGCCTTGCAGCCGCAGCATTTGCCGTCACAAAACAGTCGGCTGTTCACGGAAACAACTGATTATGACCGAGAAATGATATCATGAAAGTTACGGTGCTTATTAAGCATTTTAAAACGTATGTGGTAAGTTGCCAAAGTGCTTTGTTTTGAACGTTCATCAGTATTATAATCAAAGAGAGAGATATGAACGTTAGTTTTTACTGAAATGATCAAATAAAGTCAACATTTCACAGTCTTTACTGAGCTGTGTGGGGTTTGTTCAACTTTTAAAAGATGTTTGAATGGTGATATACACAGTAGTCCCTCGTTCTTATTAAACATCCATGTTGTAGTCCGCTGTATAGAAAACTGTAGTTTCCATAGTTTCCCCACAGCAGCAGCAGACGCACATTTATGACGTCCGCTGGCGCATCATAAACACGTCGGATAGTGAAAGTGCAGTCGGATTCTCTAAAGTACTGCAGTCTCTTCTCCTAAGTCCTTTTTAATTCTCCTATCCACTATCCCTTAACCCCGTGACGTTTCACTCAGAGATCAAGGAATAGACGATAGGGTTAGCCGTTAGGAGCTGATTTTTGGACTATTCGACTGCAACCCTGCTGTTCCCTTTAGTGTTTACTTCCTGTCTGTCTTCTTCTGCTGTTCCCTTTAGTGTTTACTTCCTATCTGTCTTCTTCTGCTGTACCCTTTAGTGTTTACTTCCTGTCTGTCTTCTTCTGCTGTTCCCTTTAGTGTTTACTTCCTATCTGTCTTCTTCTGCTGTTCCCTTTAGTGTTTACTTCCTATCTGTCTTCTTCTGCTGTACCCTTTAGTGTTTACTTCCTGTCTGTCTTCTTCTGCTGTTCCCTTTAGTGTTTACTTCCTGTCTGTCTTCTTCTGCTGTTCCCTTTAGTGTTTACTTCCTATCTGTCTTCTTCTGCTGTTCCCTTTAGTGTGTACTTCCTGTCTGTCTTCTGCTGTTCCCTTTAGTGTTTACTTCCTGTCTATCTTCATGTCCTGTTTTTTTCCCCTTTGTTTTCTTCTTTTCTGGGGAAAAAATATTATTTTATATATATTATATAAATGTATTTTTCTTAGCAAGGATCTGCTTAGCTTAGCAGCAGTCTGCTATCACAAAAGAGAAGACCACTGAATATCCAAATTAACCAATCCGAATCGAGTATTCAATTTAGCCGTGTACATAATAGCCATTGGTTAGTTACAACGCTGTGCAACAGTTGAAAAAAGTAAAGCTTCTAACACTGTGCCCCTTGCAAAATGATGGATTATTACTCTCAAATTCTGAGGGTGATACATATTCTTTATTGAACATGAGACCTGTAATGACCTCTGATCACATGTGTTCATGCAGCAGAGCAAATGCTGGGCGAACATGGGTACGTTCCCAGAAAAAGGCGGGATTTCTCAGAGTAAGTAAGACAACCATTTCTATTTTATTTTTAAAATCAGGATTGTATGGAGCCACTCTGGGGTCACATTTTAAGAAAAATGTGTAAACCGTGCGGTCAGATTCACAGATAGTCTCTGGGTCTTGTACACTCTTTAACTGCTGCCTTATCGCTCTGTAGCCTTATACTTGTAAATGGAACTTATGATGAGTAAACTGGAACAGTGAACATTTATGATAACCTAACGGTGCTATTTCTCTGTGTCGATTCAACACTATACTGACATATTTTTACAGGGATCACTTTCTGTTTTAATGCTTAAAATACATACATTAGTTTACAATATTCAAATGTGTACTGCTTTTAAAAAAGATTGTGTTATTTGTATTTTGTACATAAATAAAGGATTTAGCCTTGCTCCATCAATGAGAAGATTAGATGCCAAAATATGCAAAAAGCTTTATAAAAATATAAACAATATCATTTTTTTATGGATGTATGTCCTAAACTAAAATGTCGAAGTGTCTTAGAAAATAATTTGATTTATTTTACAGTAACCCTACACCACCTCCGTCTCCACCTAGGGAGCCCAATACGGACATGGACATGGACGTAGAAACAAAAGTAGGTTTAAAAGTTTAAAACTACATCATCATGCATTGGTTGATTCATCGTTACTGTTATTTTTTAAATATATTTACTGTTATGTCTCTTTTTTCCATTATTATTACCTTTTTTAAATGTGTGTAGACAGCAAAAAAAAAATCAAGAGACCACTGCAGCATTATTAGTTTCTATGGTATTAATATTTATAGGTATGCGTTTTAGTAAAATGTATCTTTTTTTATTTTATTCTATAAAATACTGACAACATTTCTCTCTGTTGGAATTCAGCAGACACTGGAATGGAATGGCTGACTTACATGTAGAGATTGAGATTAACGAAAACGAGTGGTCTCTTAATTTTTTTTCTGAGCCGTATTTGTGTCTATGTATGCGTCTGTGTGTATAAGTGGTTGTAAGGGTCTGTATGTACAGTGGGGCAAAAAAGTATTTAGTCAGCCACCAATTGTGCAAGTTCTCCCACTTAAAAAGATGAGAGAGGCCTGCAATTTTCATCCTAGGTACACTTCAACTATGAGAGAAAGAATCCAGGAAATCACATTGTAGGATTTTTAATGAATTAATTGGTAAATTCCTCGGTAAAATAAGTATTTGGTCACCTACAAACAAACAAGATTTCTGGCTCTCACAGACCTGTAACTTCTTTAAGAGCCTCCTCTGTCCTCCACTTGTTAACTGTATTAATGGCACGTGTTTGAACTCGTTATCAGTATAAAAGACACCTGTCCACAACCTCAAACAGTCACACTCCAAACTCCACTATGGCCAAGACCAAAGAGCTGTCAAAGGACACCAGAAACAAAATTGTAGACCTGCACCAGGCTGGGAAGACTGAGTCTGCAATAGGTAAGCAGCTTGGTGTGAAGAAATCAACTGTGGGAGCAATTATTAGAAAATGGAAGACATAGAAGACCACTGATAATCTCCCTCGATCTGGGGCTCCACGCAAGATCTCACCCCGTGGGGTCAAAATGATCACAATGAACGGTGAGCAAAAATCCCAGAACCACACGGGGGGACCTAGTCAATGACCTGCAGAGAGCTGGGACCAAAGTAACAAAGGCTACCATCAGTAACACACTACGCCACCAGGGACTCAAATCCTGCAGTGCCAGACGTGTCCCCCTGCTTAAGCCAGTACATGTCCAGGCCCGTCTGAAGTTTGCTAGAGAGCATTTAGATGATCCAGAAGAGGATGTTCATATGACAAGAGAATGTCATATGGTCAGATGAAACCAAAATAGAACTTGTTGGTAGAAACTCAACTAGACGTGTTTGGAGGAGAAAGAATGCTGAGTTGCATCCAAAGACCACCATACCTACTGTGAAACATGGAGGTGGAAACATCATGCTTTGGGGCTGTTTTTCTGCAAAGGGACCAGGACGACTGATCCGTGTAAAGGAAAGAATTAATGGGGCCATGTATCGTGAGATTTTGAGTGACAACCTCCTTCCATCAGCAAGGGCATTGGAGATGAAACGTGGCTGGGTCTTTCAGCATGACAATGATCCCAAAACACACCGCCCGGGCAACGAAGGAGTGGCTTCGTAAGAAGCATTTCAAGGTCCTGGAGTGGCCTAGCCAGTCTCCAGATCTCAACCCCATAGAAAATGTTTGGAGGGAGTTGAAAGTCTGTGTTGCCCAGCGACAGCCCCAAAACATCACTGCTCTAGAGGAGATCTGCATGGAGGAATGGGCCAAAATACCAGCAACAGTGTGTGAAAACCTTGTGAAGACTTACAGAAAACGTTTGACCTCTGTCATTGCCAACAAAGGGTATATAACAAAGTATTGAGATGAACTTTTGTTATTGACCAAATACTTATTTTCCACCATAATTTGCAAATAAATTATTTAAAAATCAGACAGTGATTTTCTGGATTTTTTTATTTTCTCATTTTGTCTCTCATAGTTGAAGTGTACCTAGGATGAAAATTACAGGCCTCTCATCTTTTTAAGTGGGAGAACTTGCACAATTGGTGGCTGACTAAATACTTTTTTGCCCCACTGTATGTACATACAGAACAAATTAAGAGACTACTCGTATATATACATATGTACTGTATATATTTATTTTTATATATTTGTATTCTCTTGGATGGTGAGGAACAGAATTTCGATCCCTTGTCTGTGTCATACAAATAGAGGAATTGACAATAAAGTTTACTTTGACTGATATGTTTGGCCTCTAGGGCAGTGGAACAAGCTGTTACCATAACATTGGCAGAGGATTGTCTAGTTACACGTCCAGCTATTTAGTTAGGAGTCATGTTTCTGGCCACACAATAGAGGCTTCTCAATACTCTAATTTCCCCCCCTCGACTCCTATCCTCGAGACTTAGTCCCGCCCATAGGAGATGCGAGCGGAGGACTCGAGGAGGGGGAGAGAGGAGGGGAAACAGCAGGCATTTAGAGAAATGAGAACTCCTCTCCTCTGAGCGGTCATTTTAAAGAGACGTCCATTAATGATGACAGGAGGCACAGCAGCCCTCTGTCTGATGGACAGATGTGTTCATGACGACTTATATATTTACTTTGATTCATTGACAGTGCGGTATAATGAGACAATAACAGGCTACAGATGCAGACATATACACACATATTTATATAAATATATACAATTTCAGAATCAAACAAGTATGAGAGCACTCTCATAATAACGTAACACAATCAGAGACTGGCTATATCCCCCCCTCTCTCTGGTCACTGAAATGGGGAATTGAAATTACGGGCCAAAAGTTGTATTTACAAGTATAAAAAGTAAGCAGAGGACACCAAACCAACTGAGACCCGTCTGTCCGCCGCATCTATGCACTGTACAACACACACACCTACACACTGTACCACACACACACACCTACACACTGTACCACACACACACCTACACACTGTACCACACACACCTACAGCTCCTAAAGCATAATCAGGCTACAGCCGTTGTGTATTTTATTATGTGACGCACTAAATGGTTTTAGAAAAATATCGACTCTTTGTTTATAGTTATCTACTAAACTACAGCATACAAATACAAATACAGAGAGTAATGTAGGCCAGTTATACTGAGTGATATATCAAACTCACTTACCCGCTCAACCCAAGATTTTTCTTGGGACCCATCAGGACAAAGCTCCGGACCTGGGGTGATAGGGCCTTCGCAGCAGCCTCCCCCACACTCTGGAACTCCCTCCCCAGCCACGTCAGATCCGCCAACACTCACATCATTCAAACAATCCCTCAAAACTCACCTTTTCACTCTTGCCTTCAACCCCTAATCAACTAACCCCTTGCCCTTATTCCTCCTAGCTTAGCACTTTCTACTTTTGTTGTTATTTTGTTTTACTTGCTTGTAAGCGCTTTGAGCACCAGGAAAAGCGCTTTATAAATGTAATGTATTATTATTATATATTTTACACACTGCTCTGCTTTCTACACGGACCTCACAGCTGTTCTCACTGTAAACATCGCGTCTCAATGAAAGCAGTTACTGAAATATTATTAATTCAGAGCTGTAATTGGCTGACATAAGTCCGGCCGTGCTTCACGCCTCCACCGTTCCCGGAAATGCATCCGCGGAGGAGCCATGGAGGAACCACCAGTGTCTCCTCGGCTATAGCTCTTCCAGCATGCTGAAATCTATTTCCGGGTCACTACCGGAGGACCGAGGAGTCGAGGAGGGGACATTTTAGTATTGAGAAGCCTCTACTGAGTAAATCTGTCTCTTTAGCCCAGGGGTGAGGAACCTCCGGGCTCCGGGCCGTATACGGACCGCATTTGGTACAGCCCTGGAGGTAATTTATAAACACACACAAAAAAGAAAAAAATTAAAGAAATCTAGACTAAAAATAATTACACAAGCAAGTGCCTGTTTTTCCTGGCCAAGAGCCGCGTTCACACCGCGTACTTTGCAGTACTTAGTGCCCCGGCACTAAGTACCAATCGCGTTCACACCAGAGTACTATTCCCTGAGGGAAGATTACGCAAATGAGCCGCTGACGTCACTTCGTCTGCTTTGGGTTTACTGGTAGGCTGCAAACAACTTCACGGCGTATACTGCCACCCGAAGTCCCCGGCCGGAAGTCCCCGGAGTTGGGGACTGGCTTCAGTAGAAGCCTTCCGAGTAAATCGCCAGAACGCCGACACCTCCTCATCACTCCACCGCTCCCAAGTTTTTGTTTGTGTTGCCATAAGTCAGTGGTTCTCAAAGTGGGGGGCGCAGAGGCATGACAGGGGGGGCGCGAGAGACCAGGAGGAAAAATGGTTATTAAAAAAAAAAAAAAAAGATTATAAAAAAAAAAAAAAAAAAATCATATTTTGAAATATTATTGATTCGAAAATAATATGATACAGTACTATTACGTCTGGGTCTCTGTGTTTCATGTGTGTGTGTGTGTGTGTGTGGCCATTTTGTGAGAGAGATAGCGTACCGGAGATCGTTGATGTTAGCTTCTGGTGCTAGCGAGCTATGCTAACGGATATAAGGAGTTTTTTTAACAACAAAGTGGAGGAGAGTCCTCTCCTGTCAGACTGAGAGTCTCAGTGAGCTAAAGGACTCTGTGTTATCTCAGTGGGTCTCAAACGTTTTGGTCACCATTAATGTAAACAATTATTTCCGAGGCACACGTTTATATGATCATTATAGTTATAAGAAAATAAGAGAATACATGAAAAACAGCTATGAAATACTATATGACAGTAAAACAAGAATAAAGTTTAAAAGAGTGATTTATAAAATGTCCATAAAGAAATAGTAAATCTGTTTACAATTCTGTTTCATCTGGGTGTTGAGAGATGTATCCATAGATCTCTTCATTTTGCTCTCAAAGTGCACCAGATTGATGCTTTCAACTTCAATATTTAAAAATCTTCCCGGGGATGTGAGGTCCACACACCACCTATAAAAATAGCACTTTACCCCTGCTTACACCTATATGCCGAGACTTGATATCGAGCCTTCATTGTAACAGTCGCGGGTACATAGTGTATGTGCGTGGGGAGTGTTGCAGTAGAAAATTCCACTGTAGCGACCGGTACATTAATGGGAAACCCTAAATGTTTGAGCACGCTCTATGAAAGGTCAAGCTACCCCACAGCACCCCCAAAATAAATCTCTGGCGCCGCCACTGAGCCTGACTATTTGTGTTGGGGGGGCCCGACTTTTTTTTTTCTCCAAAGGGGGGGCCTGACCGAAAAAGTTTGAGAACCACTGCCATAAGTTATTCTCTCTCCGTTGGTGCGCGGGGCTAATACTAATGCTAATAATGCTAATGCCACAAATACAATGGCGGCTTCACAAAACTTTTCAGAGTTTTACAGGGTGTGGTTTGCAATTCGCCCAGCCAATCAGAACTGGGGCACTTTTTCCCCCCAGGATAGTACCACCTCTCAGCAGGCACTAAAAATGGGGGTAAAAGTTCCCGGCACTAAGTACTCTTTTTGGTGTGAACGCAACATAAGGGGTACTAACGGAACTAAAGGGGAAAAGTACGGGGAAAAGTACTCCGGTGTGAACGCGGGTTAGGTCAGTGTCCTTGAACACAACACGAGCCTAACGTCGTCACGTGGTATATGTCTCGTCTGACAGGGGTGTAGTTCTGACGGAGAGCACAAGAACGCCACTCCGGCACTTCAGAAATTGCAGTACCCATAAGGAGCCGTACACATGCTGCAGTTTTAGCGTGGCTGTGTCTTTAGTTGAAACTTGCCCAGTGGCGATCTGTTCATCTGTCATACTGATCATACACTCAATAACTTTGTTGTTATTAGCATCTGGTTAGCTAGCTATGCTAACGAATATAAGAAGGTTTTTCTACAACCAGTGAGGTAGAGGCACATCTTTATATGATCATTATAGTTATACAAAAATAAGAGAATAAAGTAAACAGCTATAAAATACTATATGACAGTAAAAAAAAAATTGTTATTAATAAACAAGAATACAGTTTGAAAGGAGTGATTTGTGAAATATTCATAAAGAAAAATAAAATCTGATTACAGTTCTGTTTCATATGGGTGTTGAGAGATGTTTCCATAGATCTCTTAATGTTGCTCTCAAAGTGCACCAGATTGATGCTTTTAACTTCAACATTTAAAAAAATGCCCCCGGACCCCCCTAGAGGAGGTTAGGTCCTCCCCCCCACTTAAATCATGTTCACATGGATAGGAAAGTAAATACATTTGCACACATCTTGTGTCCATATCTTTCTGTTTGGTGGTCATGCCACAACCGTGCACGTGCGTGCATGCATGCACGAGTCATAGTAAGATATCTGGATTAAGAGGTTGCTTTTTCTTTGCACAGCATGAAAGAAAGGTGAAATGAATGGGCTGTGATTTTAGTATTTTTAAGCAGAGGTCAATAATGTGTATGGCCCTCGGAGGATGTTGAACAAATTGAAATGGCCCTTGAGAGGAAAAAGATTCCCCACCCCTGCTTTAGCTGCTCAATGCTCTACGTTCACCAGTACATTTTAATGATCTCGTTTGTATGAGAAAGTTGTTTCTCTCGCAGTTCATTTCAAACTCAATGTATTTGTTTCTTACAGCTGGAGTATCATGAACTGATTCAGGAACTCTTTTCTGGTTCATTCATATTTCCTGAATACTACGGCTCATCTTATGAAAAAACGGCATCAACTCCAACCAGCTTTGTCGATCCCCGTTGCTCCGTTTGAGTGTGCATCAGAAAGAATCAAGAATATTGTCTTATGTGTTTGTAATGATTCTCCAAAGATTCTGCTTAATGTATATATTGTGCTAAGCTACAAGTAATGTTAAGAATATAGGTGTGCTAGAGGTGGATCTTACAAAATGTGTGACGGATTTCTACTGCACCGTTTCAACATTTCTATGAAACTTGATTATCTATAATGACAACAAATGAGTAAAAATTAGTGCTGTTGTGTTTAAAATCACTTGTAAATGTACTTTTTTTTTCATATTAGGAAAAAGCTGTCATCATAAAGTGTGTGTATATATATACCTGGTTACCATTGACAGGTTCTTTCTTTCAGTCTTTATTTCGAACAGATTAAAAAATAACAAATGGGAAAAACAGAATACCGTATTGTTATAATACAGTATTTATCCACATTCATGGTAAGCACTTTGAATTGCCTTGTGTTGAAAAGTGCTATATAAATAAACTTGCCTTGCCTTGCCTAATATTTGTATATTCAACAAAAAAACAAAACATTTCTTCATATAATAATAAATCATGTGTCCGAAAGGGAGTAGGAGGAAGCAAATGCTTATTAATTCCCACCCCTTACTTGATCAATGATTGTCCTTTAAATCATTATGCAAGTTATTCCTACATACATTTACACATACATACAATCATGTCTCATCTTCAATCACCTTTCTTCATTCTCATATTTTTCCAAAAAAGTGTTTCTGTACATCCTTTTAAACTGAATGATGCTTGTGCTTTGTTTGAACTCCTGCTCCAAACCATTCCATAAAATCACCCCACAGATTGTTAAACTCATACTTCTCAGAGTTGTTCTGACCTTGAGTTTAAAATGTAGATTTCCTCTCAAATGATACCCACCCTCTCTGTCTACTAACAATGTTTTTAATTTCCTAGGAAGTAGATTATGTCTTGCTCTGTATATGATTTGTGCCGTTTTAAATTTAACCAGATCAATGAACTTCAATATGTGTGACTTCAAAAATAATATATTAGTGTGTTCAAGATATCCAACATTATTGATAACTCTTATAGCCCTTTTTTGTAATGTGCATAACGGCTGTAGGTTGGTTTTGTACGTGTTTCCCCAAATCTCCACACAGTAAATCATATAGGCAATATTAGTGTGTTATATAGAGTATGCAATGAATTGTAGCCCAGAATGTATCTGGCTTTTCCCAATATTGTGATAGTTTTAGCCAGTTTTGCTTTTACATGAGTGATATGAGGTTTCCATCTGATTTTGTGCTCTAAAACCACACCAAGGAACTTAATTTCATATACTCTTTCTATGTGTATGTTAATATCTAGTATTATTGTATCTGTGGATTTGTTTTATGTTTTCCAGATAACATAATCTTTGTTTTGCTTATATTTAATGATAATTTGTTTGTGTCAAACCAATGTTTTACTTTACTCATTTCTGCTGTTATCACTTCCATTAGCTGTTTCAAATTATCACCGTAACAAAAAATATTAGTGTCATCTGCAAATAAAATAAATTTCAATATATTTGATACTCTGCAAATGTCGTTGATGTATATTATGAATAGCTTTGGACCCAACACGGACCCCTGAGGTACTCCACAAGTTATGTTCATGTATTCTGATTTATGTTCACCAATTTCAACAAATTGTTGTCTGTTGCTTAAATAATCTCTCACCCAGTTTAATCCCACCCCTCTGATGCCATACCGTTCCAGTTTTATCAGTAAAATATTGTGATCTATGGTGTCAAATGCTTTTTGTAAGTCTATAAATATTCCCACTGCTTGATTTTTATTGTTATAATAGTCCGCCTACTGTATTGTTTTCCATAATGTTTGTGAATATGTTGTCTATTAATGTAGCAGAATGAGAAGTGATTCTACTAGGTCTGGCAATTTTAGGATACAAACACATACTGTACAATGTATTGATGAAGTGTTCTGTCATTTTATGCTTATTTGGATTCAACAGGTCAATATTGTAATCCCCACAGATAAACATCATTTTTTGTAATGATTAGCAATGTCATTGTGAGAAAGTTAGCATGATGGTGTTAGCATTCAGATCAAGGCCCCCTGAGGGTGAGGGTATGCCACATTCACATGATGACAAGGAAATAGGATATTATTAGGGCCCGAGCACGGAGCGCTAGGACACAACGGCGTCCTAGCACGAAGTGCGAGGAACCTATTGTTATTGGTGGAATTATTATTTTTCTGCTGGCGTTTCCTGTTTTTGAGGCTATTAGGACGCTGACAAAGTTGTATAATTTTGCACGGACGCCAGGACTGGTGAAAAATACAATATTCTGGAGTCAATGGGTTAAATATTCCAACGTGCTCGCTAGCGCCACCTATGAAAAACCCATTTCGGAATAAATGTACAAAGTCGCACCGTAACTCCAAATGACCTGAAATTTTGCACACATATCCGGGTGGACCTGCTCTACAAATAATCCTATTGGAACCCTAAGCTCCGCCTACATTTAAATTAGCATAATGTTCAAAACAGTTAAATATTCACTTAAATTTCAATTTTCAGTTTTTCAACACCAAACTTCGTATACAGCATCGGTGGCGGGTCAGACACATTACCGTAGAAAATGAGCATGTTAGGACGATAAATATTGCCGCCGTCAATCAAAACGTACACGCAATAAGGCGGGGCTTAGAAATAAATGCTCATAAATCATCAACAATGTATCCAAACATCACACATTTTGGTAGATAGGTTCAATCTGTGTTGGGGAATAGGCACACCAAATAATTTATATTTTGGACTATAGGGGGCGCCACAAACACCACCAATTTATAACTCAAGAACAGATGGACGAATCTTTTTATTTATTTTGTACACATACTCTGGGGGTGACTACGAACTGAGATATAAAGTGTCGCAACAAATCCAGAATGTTGGCGTGGCCTATACTTTTTTTTTTAAAATTGCGATAGCATAAAATGAGCTTCGGATGCAAAACTTGGAACACACGTCAGAGCCCACAACCTTTTCGAGAATGTAAAAAAAAAACGTAACCTTTCAAAAAAACTGCTCACTAGCGCCCCCTATTGTGTGGTAGTCACATATAGTTTCTCAGAACTTCGCTTGTATTATTTATTTGGAAGACAATAAACCTAATTTAACGTACTGTCCTTCATGTCTTCAATATTGTATGGGATATAGTAAATAAAGGTAGACGGGTGATGAAGGTGACATTGCGTTTGCTTGATTGTTAGATGGCTACATTGTTCTGTGTGGGTTTCATAATGTAGAAGGAAACGTTTTGCACAAAGTAATGTTGTGCACGGAACTAAAGTGTTTTTTCCAAAGTCTGAAGATTAACCCTGAATATCAGCATTTTAAATAAAGATATATCTGTGCGCTTCATAGGTATAAGGCATTAAAATATACATGCCATTTACGGTCTTAATTGCTCATGTCAAACCATTTGCAGAGTTTCACTTAAAAACAAAAGTGATTGTATTAGAAGACCTGTGTTCATTTTCTGAACCTTTGCTCTGTCCTCGTGATTGAATGATCCAAGAGGTAAGGACATTTGTCTCCAATTTGGGATTATGCAGAAAGACAATTCAGGAAAACCAAGTTTGAAATCAACGGTGCACAGGTTTATTTTATTTCACCTCTTTTCTCTAAAGTGAGAAGTGGAGCTCACTAAAAACAAACAAAATTAAATCAGGTATGTGTGCACATCATTTCAAAAACACAAGTTAACAGACAACCACGTTTTGCCAAAAAAACCCACTAAAAAACAAAGTTCATTAGATGTAATCGTGCTCTCTCAGGTGTGGTGCCATTTGGACAGGAGCAGAGAGTTGTGCAGCAATCCTGTTCCTTAGGTGGTGTCCAGGACCTTCCTGTCCACATGCTGCGGCAGGGGGAGGACTCTGGTCCCCATCTTCAGGGGGGAAGGCTTCAGCATCCTCAAGGACATCGTTCATGTCTATGCACAGATTGTGCAGAAATGCACAACATGCAATGATGTCAGGGGCAAAGCTTGGACTGACCTCCAGCGCTTTGAAAAGGGTGGCCCTCCAGCGAGCCTTCATCCTTCCAAATGCTCTTTCCACCACAGACCGAGCCCTGGCATGATGCCTGTTGAATCTGGCCTGCACCTGGCCACGAGGGACCTTGTAGGGTGTGAGTAATCCCACTGGTTTTTTCCAGGCAGGGATAACCACCATCCCCAAGGAGGAACCAACCAGCTGGGGGAAACAGTGACTGGCAGAAGATGGGGCTGTTTCGCAGTACTCTGGCATCATGAACGGAGCCTGGATAGCCGATGAAGACATCCAGGAATCTCCCAGTTGAGTCACAGATGGCCTGCATCTGGATGGAAGGAAACAGCTTGTAATTGATGTACTCCTTGTGGTACTCGTTTCCTGGAGGTTTGATGCGAATATGGCATCCATCAATCGCACCAGCAGCACGGTGAAATGCAGGACTCTTTGCAAGCTGACCGAAGCCATCTGCAATCTCTGGCAGCTCATCTGCAGTTGGCAGGGAAATTAGGGTCTTCAGGTTGGCCTTTATCTTCCCGGTGACGTGTTTGATGATCCTGTGGACCGTCGATTTGGGAATCCCGAATGCTGAACCAACCACAGAGAGCGATAGTCCATGGGCCAAGCTGTAGAGGAGAACAAGCACCTCGATGTCTTGTCCCCATCCGTGGTCCTTTGGGGAGGAAAGCATCTGCACTAAATACACCACACTAGATCGCTTAACTCTAAAGTCCTTCTTTAGACAGGCTTCAGGGTTGGCATACACGGCGAGAATTGGGGCAGTAGCATTGAGCTGCATGTAAAGACCCTTGCCCCCCTGTAAAAGACAAACACAGGACACAGTATTGTTCAATAACTATACTCCAACACACACACACACACAGCTCTGTAAACAATTCTGAGACCAAGTCAAATTAACCTTTCCTTTTTTATTCTATAAACTACTGACAACATTTCTCTGTGTTGGAATTCTACAGACACTATACAGATATACACGTATAGCTTATAAGGAAAGAATAAATTAATGTATATCACAATATATCTAAATATCTATTTGTATTACACATACAAAGTTCATAGGCTACTATATAATAAATAAAGTGAAGATAATTGTTGTATTAGCAATATTGAAATGTTTACCTGCCACTGGCACATCGCTAAAATGCGCCTCAACCTTCTGCGCCTTCTGTTGGATCTTGCCATTGCACCCGCTAATAGGTGATGGATAGCAACGCAGGTCAATGCAGCCGACAGATGTGGGTTGGACACCATGACGTCCGTTTCCGTTTCCTGCGGAGAGAGGGGAGGCCGTCCCAAAGCTTGCCGCTGTATTTATACCCTTAACCCTTAATGGAGGGAACTTCATTCAGCTGTGAGTGTGCCTACAGACGGAGTTCACTCCGTCACGGAGGGGGAGGGTCGAGGGAGTGGTTTGGGATTGGGCCTTAATTGCGGAGCACATTTTTGAA